ACTTCCTTTTGGTTTTTTATTTTTTCACAACCACGTATTCTTTACGCCTTCAGCCTCACACCATTTACCGGTGACGAGTGGAGTGGCCCGCATTATATCAGAAGGTCGCCTCATCAGCATGTCAAATAGCTCAGCTTTGTGTAAACCTTGTTTTACTCATCATTCCGCTGTTCTGGGCAGGTATTGTCTCGGTCTCATCGTTATATCTCCCCCCCTAGTTAACCATGATAATATTAACTCCTGGATATACGAGCACAAACTGTTTTTACGGGCACGAATAAGCTACTGTTTAAATTACCTGTACCTTCATGGCAAATAATCTCAGTCGCCATCTGTTCTGTCGCTAGAACATATAAGAGCCACATGTTTGTACTATGAAATATCCCGGCGGAACAAGTTCGCAAAATTTACAGGTTGGAGAAGCAGAAGCACTGCTTATTTTTGCCCACGCATTCGTTTGTCTCAAGCCTCCCACTTTTCCTCTACAAATTTGGTTGTTGGCTGCTTCGGAATGGGCTATTCCACCCAATCCGTTGACAGGGTTACTATGAGGTACTTCCAGCAATAATAAGCCCACAAGAAGCACACACTGTGAGGCTTGTAGTTTACCGTATACCGCCGCTACTACTAATTGTGCCCCACTATATTTCAGACTGTTCATCTGATTTACATCTTACTCTAATAGTTTTTGGTTTCTGACGTCTAGAAGGAGCCCATAGTAACAACTTAGCCAATTAACATTGCTTAGCATATAGACCTAAAACCTTAAGCCTCAGTCGAGATGGCGCAGGAAGGAGCGTAATTGAATTCACTTGACGCTACGATAGTTTGTCTTTAGAGCAATCCTAGATGTGTCACGAGACCATGAATTACCGACTGCATTTACTAGGCCTACAACAGTACTCAAGTGTTGCGTGCTAAGAGGTCCATTGCTGACAGGACAGGTATGTTTCATGTGTTCAGTGGGCCACCTTACTTGTCAGGCCTACTCTTCGCTTTTGACTAGCTGATAAAGGAAATTGAGTTTTTTGGGCTGAAACTGTGACATAACCACAGACACCAAGGAATTGCCGGCTTTATTTATTCTGATGTAACACAACAATGCTGCGTGATCAACAACTGGGGAAATCCTTTAATTGTATATTGCTACACGCCTTACTGAAGGATCGCCTGAGCTAAGGGAGAGATCGTGTAACTGGTTGCTTTGATAGCCTCGAATATCTACCAGCTTAGGGGGGGTGGGCAGGTAGTTGTAACATCCAGGCTGCGATAAACTTTACATTAGCCTCAGGCATCACAAAAACTGAGTCTTCCTAATATGGATTAAATACCGAGGAAATATGATCATCACAGAAATCACAAATTCTTTGATCTTTAATTTCAAACTGCAATGAGTAAAAAGCGTCCGACAGTAGGGGTGCCTCCACAATCTCATTGCCAATGAAATTTAATCTGCAAATGCAAGACTTAAAACAGGGCAATTTTAGGCACCTAGAAGCATGCTAGGAGCCTCAGTAACTGTTGTTGGCTTCTTATATATTTCATACATATCAAAAGTGATCGGAACACTGCGTCTGCAACTGAACTGGTCTCTCCCTCGGGCGTCAGGTGGGCTAAAAATAGAAGGATCATTAATGTAGAAGAAGTTACTAGGCTGTAACTCCAAATATCCCAACCCTCAGGGAACCTATAATTAAGAACCTTCGATGAGGGTGGAAGTGAGCATCACGAAAGTCACAACACGAAAGCTTTTGAACATCTTCCAATTCAGGCATGCATGAAGGGCAAAACCACCTGCGACCAGGCCTGATGAACTTGTTTAACTCGGACCGAGACGTATCTGCGCAAGCATCTTGTAACCATCCGTCACATGTGCCACGTTGCATACCAGGAGGAACAGACTGACAATAGTTCAGCTGATTAGCGACCACTCTCAAGAAAGTGTACGGCAAGGAAAAACTTCAACAAAGTAATTCCGAAAGGTGGAAAGCGGGTGTAACTTTAGCGCCGATAAACTACGCCAAAGCTGGAATGGATATGAAACCTCACTATATAGGCAAAAATAAAAATACTATCATAAATGCTATAGGTTTAGGGAATTTGAAGCTTGAAAAGAATACAGGTGATGTTCGTATAAGTCGCCACTCAAAACAAATTGTTATTTTTACATTGAAAACCAGCGTATCTGAACAACAAAAGCTAAGATGCTGGATCGTGATGAGACTACACTACCTTTTGAAGGGCGTGCGCTCAAGTCTCCGATCTCGCATTCGTCAGTGTTCCAAAATAAGAACCAATGACTGGGCCCTGAGCCCGCTGGTTGATAAATTATTGACTGTCCCCCCAGTAAGCCAATATTTACTTATTGAACTGTTTAAGTTACGCAATACATCCACACTCGAGAAAGTTATTTGAATTCCATGTATGGTTCTAAATTAACCGTTATGCCCAATGAGACTGTTGTTCCGAATGGTGAATTCGGAAGGGGGTTCACATGATACGCTGCTTTTGAAGGTCTTCTAGAAATCTTATTCAAAGAGGACCATGAATCATATTAACAGGTCACCATTAATTTTCTAGGTTTCTCAAGTCATGGCTGGATTCTATGGCTATTTGTATTTCTCAACAAGATAAAGCTCTGGTATGTTGAAGCGACTACATACCAGGTTGTTCATTCGACGTCGTGCACACTGACGCACTGTTATTTACCGGATAAAGTTTCGAGCCCATTTCATTTTTCATAATCGTACCGTATTCATCGTCACCTTGATGTGGTTCATAGTGCCAAGCTTCGTGAGCCATATTGTATCGATGTGGGCTGTTACAAACAAGCAAGCTAACCTGGGTTTGTGTCCTATTGCAGGGCTCAGTTGTTACACCTACTTTTGAAAGTTGTTGAAGCAGTGTGTAGTAAAACATGAGGTACAGCTCAAGCCATGTTTTCTGAGTGGTTTTTAATGCCATTGCTTCACATCATATACCGTAGTCTTCGATGCACCTTCAGATAAGTGGCTCCTTAGGAAAGTATCACTGCATTCCCCACGTCCAGCGTCTTTCAGCCATTCGTAGTCCACTTACAGTTTACAAGAAGTGCTTTTAAAGGAGAAGAGGACAGAGTGTGCGAGCCGGAACAGTTGTTTTTATCGCTTTGGAGGTTACTAATAGCTTGTCTTAGTTATCCTTGTGTTTTGACTGTTTTGAGGAAGTTACACCATTACGATACTTCAAAATAGGGCTGAAGGCAGTGGTGCGTTCTGCCGGTTCTTGCAAATTTACCTCAGTGGAGATGTAGGAGTTACCGGTAACACTACCCATCCTTCCGCATTCGTCAGCATTATGTTGAAGAAAGGACTGATGACACCATTAAGGTGCCGGCTACCTATCAGGTATCGGTCGCACTGTCAATCATCCAATGTATGTGATTAGTATAATTGAATCCAGACCATCAGCCTGCTGGGGTCAGGTTACAAAGTACGTGATCGTATTGAGAGTGGATGCCGTCATCTGGCGCTCGCTGCTGGCATCCTTGTCAGCATTTGCACGTTAGGAGCAGATGGCGGATGCATCGATTATGATGCGAGTTGTAACACCCTACATTTTGACTATACTGGCCCACAAAAAAGTGTTGACGGTTGGTATCCGCAAGAAAGTGACGAACGTTACCTGTGGTTCATGCGAAACACGCTTACCGATGACACAGGGCCAAATCTATAACGAATGTTCGAATTTTCGACTCATGCGTAATTCTTGTGCAGCATAAGGGACAAGGTGGGTAACGAGATGTGACGGAAATTAGTAACCGTATGAACATCAGATTGCTTTGAGCACTGTTTTGAAGATAACGAGAGCCATGTAAAAGGACACGAGATGTTCAGTATCTTGGGTTCTTTCGAATACATTACATACATTACTCATCTCTACGTCGGCTAAAGATTGCATGCACCCGTGACTGTACTACAATGTCAATAGCCAGTAACTAGTGCTGTTACTAAGAGTAACCTACGGACGCAGGCAACAGCAAATATGGGAGGGCGAATAAGCAGTGGTAGATGGCTTGTGACTGTGCGTCCTTGCTGTACGTCCGTGAGTCTCGTTTGCTTTCTTCCCTAACCCCGTCCAAACTGATCCGGGCTGTCCGGAAATCAAGAAGCAGTAGACGTCACTATTTTCAGACATTGGAGCAACCGCCTTTGTTCGGTCACACTAAATGAACTCTACAGTACCTATCGTAATCGTGTCGTAGTGTTCACTGAACGTTCGCATACTCAAGAATTAGCTGGAAGCGGTGGGATATGTTGTGTAAACCTGTAATAGTTTTACATTGCAGACACTTCTGAACGTTTGTGCAGCTAAACTACTGTGACTGAGTACCTAGACTTGGACCAAATAAACGTTTTTTGATTTCCCGTCCCAAATGCATTGGTTCGGTCAGCGGCGTCCATTGGCAGTGTTCCGAAGCTCCGTAACCTAAGCTTCGTCACAGCGTTTCATGCCTTACTGGTATAAATTGATCTTGAGACTGGTCTTTCCATCTCCTCCTCTCCAAGATCTGCAAGACTAGGTCATCTATTTTAATATCTATAGTAGTTTCCAGGAATTTAATAGCTCGGCTTAATCTTCCGATAGTGAATACTTTATCTCAGAAGTAGTTTCTAGAAAATGGATAGGAGTCCTGGGACTGAAATATAGCTACGGCTAAATAGTACCTGAAATTGTGGCAGCATTTTGCAGATCCTCTAATCTAGAGATAGCACAGTATGTACCTCACTGGTTACTGGTATCTCCTAGAACGTGAAGTTCGAATTTGGACTAATGAGCTACTTTTGCTGACATTGAACTTTTTGATGCACTTTCATATATATGACTCAGAAAGTCCAATCACTCCATGTATCAACTGAAATCATGAAAAATCTGTGAGGATTAGTGTAAAATTACATAAGGTATGGGCAGAGAGCTGAGTAGTTGTTTGTATACACCTTCCATATAGTGACAGTGACCTTGTACATAACCGGGTATTCGGTACTTTACCTTTCAATTGTAAAAAGTACTCAGTATTTCAAGCAGGTATACGACTATGTTTAGAATAAATACGTCCCGAGAGAGTTAAGCTTCAAATAAATTAAGATCTGTCCATCTTTTGATGTTATTTCTGAGTGGTACAACAAAATATTTTGAATTGCAAATCCTTTTTCATTAGAATTTTATGAAAATTATGTATAGACTAACTTAATCCAATGATTTTCACAGCCATTTTCTAGCACAAAGGTTGTAAATATCTAGTATGGATGCGGAATAAATTAGGATGATGATCTTGTACAATAAAAGTTCTTCAATCGAAGGATCGAATTTTCACTTTGAACTTTTTTCGTCATATTAAGACTATGATATTGTACTATTAATTTTGGAATCTGAAACTGGCACCTAACACTCAAGTTGCTGACGCCAACTCATTAGAAAGAGACACAATTTAGCATAAGTCAAACTCGAACTCCGGCCATTGTTTGGAAAAGCAATTATTTGTAAACTGTTTTTGATTTCACTTGCCGAAATCTAGTTATATTTGAGTATTCATTGTTTAACTACACAATATAGGTTACTTCTGGTTAAAACAGTACCTTATTGTAACTGTGTATTGGCAAATAATTCCTCACAATCAACAAACAAGTTTTTAAGCTGTAGGCACACGGTTAAGCACCCATACTGTTCCGCACACCAGCGTGTTATGTTGCCCTGCTCATATGTGATCCTCTGTCAGTTGTTCGGAGCACACTGGTATTTTGACTCAAAATTTCTTTGCGGATAAAAGATTGGGCCAACTTAAGGCAGAAGAAAATGTTTTACTGAGTTTTCCCCTTCTGTAAAAACAATACTTAATCTTACTTGCAAATCTGTACAATTGACGGAACACTAGCCAGCACAGGCTTGCCAGAAAATAGTGTAAAGTAGTAAATAGCTTGTTCATTGTGTTGCAGTAAGAAACATGCTAATGGGATCCATTAAGCTGCAAAATACTTCCATATTAGTGAGAAAAACTCCCGAACAAATCATTTCCGTCCTTTTTGTACAATATTGAGAATGGAGGAGCTATTGGCAACAATTAGGGCCGTGAGTGGGGGTGAAGGTAAATTATCTTACGACAACTGGTAAAGATTTAAAACTGCCATCTGTGGTTTAAAGAATTTATCCTCGTTTTTAAGTACTGCTATGAAAGACAATGGCTCGCATGGTTGGAAGTAATAGATAGAATCAGAAGAGCATGATATAAGGTGAGGTGTTAAAAATCAGTGCTATAACTACACTCTCCAGTCTACTGTTTAACTTACAAAATGGGCTACAATTTGGCCACATACATGATCTTCTTTATATTTAGATGCAAAGCTATAACTTGATCTATCTTTCTTATGTGTGTTTATTCACGTAAGTCTAAAACTCATGCCATAAACAAATCTACCAATGTGTGATGACTTTTATGCCAACATTGATTTGGGTAGCCTATATCAATACCGGTTTCCGTCAAATTAAACTTGTATTCATTCTAATACTTCACATTAAGCTTCCATCAGCGTGAATTCAGAAGAGTGGAATGAAGGGAATGAATTATGATGCAGTACAAAGCTATTTTTCTGAAGATTTCATGAAGCAAGAGTTTTTACACTTTGATTGTTATTGCGGGAGCATTTATAGCACCCATCAGCCAGGATGGTTGTTTATTATTCCTATGAGTTGTTTGCCACACACAAATGCATCTGTAAATTATATTAAATACGTCTTAAGACTCCATAATAGTTGAAATGGATGAAGAAAGTTGTATTTATAAGGTGGAGATAGTTTCCATTTTTACAGCTATTCACAAAATGTCAACAACTTTGAATTTACAATGGTAATGCATGCACCTCAAGATTGTACTTTACGGAAGATTACTGGTCATTATCCCATTTGAATACTGAACCTTATTCGATCGCCACTCAAGTGAATGTTTCATATCAGCCCCATAAAAAGGCCTTTCAAGATGTGAATCGTTGTAAGAAGTATCAAAGATAATGAACAGTATTTGTGAAGTAATCTTATTCTGCTCGAATAGAACTGTTTTAGTCTGTGCGGAACTGCATCTATTCGCACTCTTAGTCAATCTGGAGAGTATCGTACACACCATAACTGTGTATCCATCAGCAGGATAAGACATAATAAATGGTTCTTCAGACATAAGTATATCTGACAGTGATGAAGTGTGTATGTGCATGTGTGTCCACGACAATACCGAACTAACAAAGGCACGTAGTACACCCTCATCACACACACAAAAACACACACAACAACAACACAACCATCATATCACACCTCAACAACACAATACCGTCCTCATATACACTGAAACACACATTCACCGGCCTCATCACTACCGCATACCGCTAGTTGACTCGACAGAAACAAGCACACTACGCCTCACTAGTTCATTATTCACAAACACAAATTGTGCAACTTAAATACCAGTAAATCCACGACTCCGTGTTATACTGAATTCGGAACGACTTTCACACGATGCTAGTACCAGTCAATAGATGACATTGAGATGTATTCCCGAAGTGGTAGAGGAGGATGGACATCCACTGATAACACAGAGTAACAACTGGTGTGTTTCTAAAATGGGAAGAAGGTTAGAAAGTGTGAATGACTGGATTGGATTTCAATATTTGGATAGTATTGTGGTGTGTGTAAGGCCTGTAAGTCGACGGTTTCTTCAGTGATTCACTTATGTTTGAGCTCTCCTTGGTAGTCTCAAACTGGGAGGACACAGGTGTTCAATGCTTTCCACTCTTCAATGACTTTTGAACTTGTTTCAGAGAGCAAGGAAATTTGACCCTGAAATTTCTAGGAATATTTAATGATGTGAATACTTTGAGATGAATCAAACTGAGTTACTGAAAATAGGTTAGTGAAATATGTTGTTGCTGCTGTTTTTCAACGTGAGGGCAGAAATCGGTGGATTTTTGTTTCCTCTTCTTCTCCAGAATTTTTCAGTAGTTTCCCGAAGGTAAACTGACCCAATATAAATATAAATCATAAACGAATATTTAGTAGTGAACATTGAATGGAAATGTTGTGTATGGTGTAAAAAAGGAGGCTTTTCCAATCAATGAATTCCCTTCAAAAACAAGTTGCTCTCAAATCCGCTCACATAGATGAAGAAGAATTTACAAATGATTCATATATAAAAGCCTCACCTAGTTAACTCGTTCACTAGTTACTAGCCGGTCCTAAGCCCAGATAAACAGTGAAAGGTGGATATAGGTCTAGCAACCCAACCCCGCAAAAACTAATATAACCGCTAAAAAAATTTCAAAGCACACAAAAAATATATAAGATAAAATTAAGCTTATTTCTCGCTGGAATCAGAGAAACTAAATGACTCCGGTTGGTGAAATCCTTCGAGAAGCCAATTGGCCGATGTGCGTTCTCTCGATGAGGGCGAAAGTAAGAATGGGGACACGGAATGTCGTCACCATGAATAAACCTAACAAGGCCACCCAGATTACCAAAGATATGAGAAGGGATAGCATAGAAGTGAGAGGAATCTGCAGATGGAAGTGTGCTCTCCAAACTGTCAACTGGAGAGGAGTCAATTATCTACTCCGATATTGTCACCCACTGAGTTTTCGAGTGGCTATCACGATGCTCCCAAGAGCATCAAATGCTCTCATACAGTGAGAGCCAATCTCCTCCTGCAAGACCAGGTTCATGACAGCAGCATTCAACTCAAAGGAGGGAAAGTGACAAATTCGTACAATGCTACACTACGCACCTACAAATAACGCAGATCAAGAGAAGAAGGAGGAATCCTACAGAAAACCGCAATCAGCACTGGACAAGACCCCACTCCAGTTGACGACATCAAAATTCCTTCTAATGGGTGGGGTGACATGAATGCCAGACTGGGAGCGGACAACACAGGAAGAGAAGTCATCTTGAGTCGAGAAGCACTTGGTGAAATGAATGAGAATGGAGAATTGTTTGCAGACTTCTGCGCGTTTAACGATCTAGTGATTGGAGGCAGTGTGTTCAAGCACAAGGATATTCACAAGCCAGCGACATGGATTTCACCATCCACCAGATGGATACACTACACTCAAAATCAGGTCGACTTCATCTCAGTGTGAAGAAAGTGGAGACGCAGCCAGCCTACTGGACGCAAGATCATATGAAGACGGGGAACAGATGTGGGTTCATACCACTCACTATCTAGTGCAAGGAACCTACCCTCAAAATCAAGTTGAAAGCCTTCACAGAAGCCGGTCATAGACGACCACAGTTCAAGTTGAACACCCAAAACAGAAAGTGAAGCACGAAACTGCAAACGATATCTTCACGTGAGTCAGCAGTCACGAAAAAACGGGAGGCATTTAGCAGCATCCTCGAGAAAACCTGTGTGGAAGAACACTAGGACTTTGTGGAAGAGACGTGCAAGAGAATCTGCATAACCGTGTTAGGAAGGAAGAAGAAGGAGAGGCAAACAAGGAATGGGTGTCCGCGGATACGTGGAAGTTGATAGAGAAAGGGGAGGAAGATGGTGAAACAGAAGATGAACCGGTGCAGTGCAGGGATGAACAAAGAGAAGAGGAACTGAGTACAAACTTTAAAACACTGGACAAATAAGTAAAGAAGAATGGTTCGAAAGACGAAAAACACTTCTACGGCACACTCACAAGTGAAGCAGAACAGGCTGCTGGTAGAAGGGACCCGACAACATTATTTCAAATGACCGGGTTACTATCTGGGAGAGGAGAGATCAACGCGGATGAAACCAGTGAGAGATGGTAAGGGAAACCTAGTTATCAAAGAGAAGAAATAGAGGAAACAATGGGCTGACCACTTCAAAAAACTCTTGAATCGACCACTAACTGCGACTCGTTCAGAAATGCCACTAACTACCCCAGAACTACCAGTGAACATAAGCCCTCTGACGAAAGCAGGAGTGAAGTCCTGAACGCCATAAAGTTGCTGAAATCCGGGAAAGCGACAGGACCAGATGGAATTCCACCAGAAGCATTGAAAACAGACGCAGAGACAACAGCGGACATGCTCACACCTCTACCGCAGAAGGTTTGGAAGGAATGAAGGAAAGATACCTGCCGACTGGAAGAATGGCTACCTTGTCAAACTCCCAAATACGGGTGAACTAAGTCTTTGCAGGAACTGGAGAGGAATCGTGCCCCTGTCCACTCTAAGCAAAATATCATGCAGCATCATACTGGAGAGACTAAACAATGCTGTAAATTCAAAATTATGGTCGGAACAGGCTGACTGGCTGGCTGGCTTCAGAAAGAACAAATCATGTGCACACCAAACTGCAACCCTACGCCAACCATCATCATAGAACAGAGCATAGAATGGCAGTCAACTGGATCTTTACCTCAACTTCATGGATTTTGAAAAGTCCTTCGACAGCGTCGGCCGAGAAGTAATTTGTCAGGCAGTTGCTTCAACACTACTGTCTTAGTGCCACAAACATTTATCAATCTCATTCAGCAGCCATATGTCAACGCAATGTGCGAAGTGATCCACAATGGAAAGCAGCTCAGTGATGCCTTTGAAGTGAAGACAGGTTGACAGGTAAGACAAGGTTGCCGCCCACTATCATCACCGATGATTTTCCTGATTTTGTCCCTCTCGACCGGGCTAGATCATGCAGCAAACCGTGAGGGGCGAGAAATTGGGCATACGCTGGACCGATGAAAAGACCTTAGAAGACTTGGATTTTGCCGATGATGATTTATGTCTAATGTATTGTCGCACAAGCTCGGAAATTTGAGGCAAACGCCTTCGTCAAATGATGTGTTCTTACTGCTGAGGAGTCCCATACTAGGAAGAAATTGTTGTATATTTCTCCTAGGCTCAGATTCGTTCTTTAAGTGATATCATTCGGTAATGAATACCGACTTGAGGTCAGCAAATAAATCCTCGCATATATTTTATGTGATTCTTATGCTCTTACAGCATAGGAGATCATTTGCCAACTGTAGTCAACCATTTTGATCCAGTATTGCAATATGAAGTTTTAAGTAACAGTGAATACTAACTGTTAGTCTTTCATTATCCATTCTGTTAAACCTTCTATCTACCTTCTGAGTTTATGGATTAAACTTTTCTCATATTTATAGAAAATGCCAATAACTGGTGGAATTGCTGCACCGAAGATTATACCTTTAAAAGCAGAAGATAGAGAAGGTCCACAAGGTTGTATTGATACACAAACCTTCATTGAAATTGTTTCAGGTAATATAAATTATCATACATTTAGTTCCCTTGGTAAATTTAAACAATTCAAGAACAAAGATATTTGCAGAATATAATGAGCTTATTTCATCCCACATGTTTTCATCAACCGCAAATAGTCTGCAACTGAAATAAAGTATTGGTAGTAGTAACAACAATACAACACACTTTAAATGTGTTGAAGTAAATGAAGATTTTGAAATCCAGGATTAACAATCAGGTAGTGAGTGAGTGAGTGAGTGAGTGAGTGAGTGAGTGAGTGAGTGAGTGAGTGGAGGAAACACAGGATGAATCATCACAAAATCAGTGGAAATTTATGTGTGATTAATTAAAAAATTCTGGAGCTGCGAAAAGGTGTTGGGACAACAAGTAGACAGGAGTGTAAAAGAATGGGTTCTTAAATAGCTAGTAGGTTACGTAATATAAAAAGACAGTAGAAGAACGTATTGAAAAACCCAAACACCCAAATGCTGGGAAGAAACTTGGTCTCCTTCGTCTAGCATTCAAGGGTGATGTGACATCTAAGAGAATAGATAAAAGAATAAAAGCTGCGCTAAGAAGCAGCTTACCTGTTGCCAGACTGATCTCAGTTTATAATCCAGCATTCTTAATAACACAGTTGAAAGTAGACAAATACCCATCTCACGTCGCCTTCAACTATGCTTGTGAAAACAAGTACTTAAGAAAGACATAAAGAAGGGCGTCTACTCGATTCTATGAGCATTTATTGAGAAAATTGTGTCTAAAAGGTGACAAGATCGTTACCTCTGCAGGGTATATGATGCAAACAGAACATCTAACAGATGTTTTTAAATCCTTCAGGATAATCAGTAAACAAAGAACATAATATTTATTATGGTTTGTGGAAGATCTTGGCATCAAACATTTTCAATGTGATCTATGTACTCAAAAATGGTCTGTAAAATTAACCTTTCTTTACCTTGGTAACTATATATATATATATATATATATATATATATATATATATATATATATATATATATATATATATATATTATATGGATATAGTTTTCCTATTTTTGATTGGATCATCTCATAATTACTTAGTTGCTGATTGTTAATCAGTAACCCAACGTTTTTCCAGTTTTTCATGTAATTACATAGCCTATTAGCTATTTAGTAACCCCTTCTTTTACACTTCTATCTGCTTACTGTCTCACTCCTCCTTCCACAGCATCAGAATTTTCTACCTAATCAGATATAAATTACCACTGATCTCGACTAACATTTTTGATTATTCATCCTGTGTCTCTTCAATTCAGTCAGTGTCTTGTTGTTAATCCTGGATTTCAAATCTTCATTTTACATATTTGAAGTGTGTTTTGATATTGTTACTGCTACTAATACTTTATTTCAATTGTAGACTGTGTGCGGCTGATGAAGCGTTGTGAGATAAGATGAGCCTATTATATATATATATATATATATATATATATATATATATATATATATATATATATATATATATATACAAAAGAAAGTTATAACTCACGGTGAACTCCTGAGGGTCCTCAGACTACAACGAAATAATGTTCCTTTGCTTAGAATGATTCACCGTATGATGTCAGTCTGCAATGACAATTACTTTGCAATATATAAATTTTCACAAAGTTTCAAACAAACTACAAATGAGAAACTAAGGAAAACTACTTATTTCAGAAATTAATCAAAATACTTTTTTCTATACGTAAACGTGAAAGTTAATAATACATAACAGACAAATCTAATCATACTTAACCATATATGTTCGACGTCAGTGAACAGGGAAACTTAGATCACGGTTTCACACTTGCTGAAACTCATCAGCACTCATCCACCCCAGTTGTGTCGAATCCTAATCATATTGTAAATAGCGCAACATTAAAATTTCTAGAAATTATCAGTCCTTTAATGTATCACACTGACAAATGTGAATTTGCACATAATTTATGGCCGTAACTTCCTGCAAGTTGAATGAAACTGTCTAGTAGTAAATTCAGTGCAGTGTAATAGTCAATTATTTGCCCTGAAAACTTTGTTGATAAAATTCGATCAACAACGCAAACTAAGTCAGAAGTAACATAATGATAATATCGATTTATTGTTCCCGAAAATGTTCGTCATTACCCTGAGAGAAAACGAATGAGTTCAGAGTGAATATATACTTTGCCCGAGTTTTCTTCAGAATTCCCTTCAAATTATTATCAAAAAACAGTATGCTGTTGCGTAAGTTACAAGTTCAGATTAAAATTAACACAGGAAAAGATGTTATTACATAGTACGACAACTCTATCTGGAGATTTGTGGAGGTTTATTAATTGAGTCCAGGTTGGAATTCATTATGGACTGGCATCATTTGGAGGAACTTAAGACACCTGAAGCACTGGACAGCTGTTTCGTCCTCGTTGTATAGGACTCCTCAGTTGTGTGCACCCATGACCCCACCCACCCAACCAGGGTCGAACCCAAGACTTTCAGATTCCACGGCAAGCACGTTGCCAATGGGCCACTGGGTAGGAATCCAATCGTCCATATTCGCTACTTCTGTCAGTTTGCGATATAGTGCAACATGATATTCGACTTGGTTGACTTCACTAGTCACCATCATTGGATTTCGACCCAGTGGTTCAATGGTAACGTGCTGATCATGGAACCTGAAGAAGGCCCTTAATTCGACACCTGGTGGGGTAGGTGGGGTCATGAATACGCACTGCTGAGGAGTCCCATGTAACGAGGACAAAACAGCTGTCCAGTGCTTCCAGGTTTCCAATGTTCCTTCAACTGATGTCAGTCCATAAAACGACAATTGTTTGTTTGGGATATTTTCCATGGAAATGATTGAATCAAAAATATAATTTAAATTTAACGAGATGTCATTATCAGCTTTTGGTTATTTGAAAAGGTTACTTTTGAATAATTGGGTTCATTAGTGTCAGACTGAAGAGTTCTGTATAGCCAAGTGGGTCATATTAAGGGGAAAACCAACAAGTTTAATGGGAAAAAATATATGATGATCTAAATAAAACAAGAAACATTTCCTTCAACTGGTTTGCCCATTTCAGGTAGTCACATTGACCATCAATATGATGCTCCTCGTGTCTAATTTAAGCAAATTTAGATTGGGGCAAGAAGTTCCGACTGAGGAGCCAGTATGAGTACGATTAAGTGACAGCGAAGCATCATGAATCCATATAGCCTTCATGATAAGGACTGAAGTGAAATTAAGATTCAGTCTACAGCTAATGAGTCCAGTAACTCCCTTGACAAAACATCAAGCAGACAGATCGGAGATCTCTGCTTCAAATCCAATCATGGTTTGGATTTTCATTTCACCTTCAATTATCATTCAGTATTATTATTATTATTATTAGTCCCTTGGGTTCCTAGTGGAACATAGGGCTTCAGTAGCACGCCTCCAGTGACCTCTGTTCTCTGAGATCTTTTGAACCTGGTCCCACGACAGCCCACAACCTCTCATTTCCTCCTCGCACGACCTCCTCCATGTCACCCTCACCTAGGACGTCCAACTCGTCGCTTCCCATGGGGATTCCACTCGAGGGCCTGACGCGTGATGTCCTCAGTCGGCCTTCTCAGTGCATGCCCAATCCATCTCCACTTCCTCCTGCATATTTGTTGCGTGATAGGTTCTTGGTTGGTTCGTTCCCAGAGTTCCTTGTTGCTTATTTTTTCTGGCCATCTGATCTTCAGCAGCGAGCGTAAGCAGTTGTTGATGAATGTCTGTAGTTTATTGGAAATGCCTTTCGTGACGCGCCAAGTCTCTGAGCCATACAGAAGCACTGACTTGACGTTGGTGTTGAAAATCCGGATCTTGTTCCGCATGCTGAGTGCGGTAGATCTCCACACTGGTTTCAGGCTAATGAACGCCTGTCTTGCTTTTCCGATTCTGACTTTGACGTCCTCTTCCGTCCCGCCTGTAGTTGAAACAGTGCTTCCTAGATAAGTGAAGGAGGTTACTTCCTTCAAGTTTCTCCCGTTGATGGTGACTGGAGTTTGTTGTTGTTGTTGATGGTGGTGGTGCGGTATCTTCATCACTTCTGTCTTCTCTATATTCACCTGAAGTCCCGTCTTAGCTGCCTCTTCTATCAACTTGTTAGTTTTTGCCTGTAGATCTTCAAGTTTATGTGACATTAGGCATAAGTCATCGGCGAAATCCAAGTCTTCTAGGTTCTTTTCCGCAGTCCAGCCAGTGTATCCCCCTCTTCTCGCTGCCCACTGTTTGCTGCATGATCCAGTCCAGTGTTTTATACATTGTGCTCAGTTCATCTTGTCGTTGAGCATCCTTGCACTGGTTTATCTTCTGCTTCACCATCCTCCTCTCCTCTATCAGCTTCCAGGTATCCGTCGAGATCCATTCCTTGTCTTCTTTCTTCTTCCTTCCTAATACTGTTGTGCAGGTTTCTTTCCACATAGCTTTCAAAGACTTCCAGTGTTCTTCTACACAGGTTTCTTCAGGGATGTTGCTCGATGTCTCCCATTTTGTCTTGATGGCTGCCTTGAAGATCTCCTTTGTAGTTTCATCCTTCAGTTTCCGAGTGTTGTACTTGAATTGAGGTCTATCACCAGCTTCCTTGAAGGCTTTTAACTTGATTTGGAAGGTTCCTTGCACTAGATAGTGGTCTGAACCTACATCTGCTCCTCTTCTTGACCTTGTGTTAAGTAGACTGCGTCTCCATTTTCTTGAGATTGAGATAAAGTCGATTTGATTTTCAGTGTGTCCATCTGGTGAAATCCATGTCGCTTTGTGGATATCTTTGTGCCTGAACACACTGCCTCCAATCACCAAATCGTTGAATGCGCAGAATTCTGCAAACAATTCTCCATTCTCATTCATTTCACCTAGTGCCTCTCGACCCATGGTTAGTTCTCTTCCCGTGTTGTCCCCTCCCAGTTTGGCATTCATGTCGCCCATCAGAATTTTGATATCGCCAACTGACGTCTTGTCCAGTGTTGATTGAAGTTGTCTGTAGAAATCCTCCTTTTTCTCTTGCTCTGCATTATTTGTAGGTGCATAACATTGTATGATTGTAACCTTCCTTCCTTTTGAGTTGAATCTTGCTGTCATGATCCTGGAGGAGATTGGTTCCCACTGCATGAGAGCCTTCGATGCTCTTGAGGACATCATGATAGCCACTCCAAAACTCAGTGTGCTCGTGGTTGGCGTCTGGGTGACCGGAGTAGATTATTGATTCTCCAGTTGACAGTTTGGAGAGTCCACTCCCATTCCATCTGCTTTCGCAAATCCCAAGCACTTCGATGTGATACCTTCTCATCTCCCTTGCAATCTGGGCTGCCTTACTGGGTTCAAACATCGTGCGGACATTCCATGTCCCCACGTTTACTTTCGCTTTCATCGAGAGAAGACACATCGGCCAATTGGCTTCCCGAGGGCTTTCACTAACTGGCGTCATTTAGCCTCTCCGATTCCAGCGGGGAATAAGTTTGTTTTCATTTTTTATATTTTGTTTGTGCTTTGAAGTTTCTTTAGCGGTTAGATTTGTTTTCCGGGGTAGGGTTGCTAGCCCTATGCCCAACCTTCCCTCTTTACCCGGGCTTAGGACCGGCTAGTAACTAGTAAACTAGTTAACCAGGCGAGGTTATCATTCAGTATTAAGTTTACCAAACTATGACTATTTCACAGAGTGAAAAAAAAAACTGATTTATCAATTTTCCTTACAACCCAATGAAACTCAAATGTCATCTTCATCAATTCAAACAATCAAATCTTATTTATTAGGCTAAAGATTTAAAGAAAACATCTCTTAGATAACCAGTATTGCTGTTGTTATTTAGAATTTAAGATTTCACCTTCTTCATTTTTTCTTTTTTTTGGATTCTGTCTTATTCCTAATAATTTCATCAACATCCAGTAGTAGTCTATTAAACAAAATCATAATGTTTGAATTGTTCAATGATAGGTTTGTATAAACATGAAGATATCTGATATTAGGATATATATGAATCCAGTTGACTAGTCCCAAATTAGATAAAGTTCACACTTAAAATCTCAATGTTAGTTAGTACTAACCAAATAAAACTTGATTAACTTTCTCTGTGAAAGTAGATAAATTTATTACTCAATAATCTACATAATAGGGAACAGAAAATTCGAAGTTGAAATCGTGTATACTTGCTTTAATCTCTAAAATTTTAAACAATTTACTAGTTCATACTAGGACGAAACAGCTGTCCAGTGCTCCCAAGTTTCCTTTGTTCCTCCAACTGATGTCAGTCTACGATGAATAACAACTTGAAATAATTCCAAATAATTCCACAACTCCCTCAAAAAAATTTAATTGAACTGGTGCTCATTGGTGACTAGCTTCGAGAAGTATTCCCGAAGTTCCAATGACAAGTCGTGACCGGTGGAGTCAAAGCCTGATGGCCATGAGGACAGATACTCAACGATGACATTGGGTGGCGGTTGCGCGCTATATATCGTGAGCTAACAGAAGTTGGAAATATGGAGCATTGAATTCTGACCCAGTGGCTCAATGGTAACGCGCTGGCCACGGAACCTGAAGTTCGCGGGTTCGATCCCTGCTGGTGTGGTCGTGGGTGTGCACTGCTGAGGAGTCCCATACTAGGACGAAACAGCTATCCAGTACTCCCAGGTTTCCTTTGTCCCTCCAACTGATGTCAGTCTTCAATGAATAACAACTTGAAATAGAAAGTAACTCAAATTCACCAAAATAATCTAACATACATTATCTTTCACTGAATGATATTCATGAGTTCATACTTCAAGAAATAAGTTACAGCAGAATCCATGATGCACATTTTGCCCTATCGAATGCTCGTCAATTGAATGTACCTGAGCTTTTAGTGAGTTATTTTGTTCCCACTGAGACTCGAACTCAGCACACATATCTCCAAACTCTAAAGTCACATCCATTAGGGCCACTGAGTCACCTATTGTGTAATGTGTACGAGTTATTCTTATAATTGCTTATTGAAATTGGTTATTTCCAACCAACTAAATCATAAAATAAAGAATAACCAGGTAATATCCAGGCATCCGTATAGGAGCTCATATGTCAACAGAGGTCGAACAATTCGATCCAGCATAACACCGGAGAATTACAAGTATATCAGCATACAGTTATAATTAATAGCTGTTGTGCAAGAGGTTGTTATTGTGCCTCATTGGCCTAGTGGATAACGCTATGGCGTTTAAAATGATGGTTACGAGGTTAGATTCTCAGTGCGAGTAACATCTGGCCGACGAGTTCCAAACAGGACGAAACTTGCGTCCTGGATTCCACTGCTAGCCATTATTCAGGCAATACTGAGACATCTGCATAAGAGCCCATATGCCTAAAGAGGTCAAACAATTCAATTAAGTATAACTACCAGAAACTAGAAGAATTAATGAATAACAACAAAAATTAGTTTCTGGTTGTGGCTAGCAGAAGAACCCAGGACGCTCATTTCGTCCTATTTGGGACTCGTTAGGTGAATGTACCTGCACCCTAGTGCGGAGTGATGTTGTTACCACCCTGGTTCGGACTAGGGAGAAATCACTTCAAACGCCAGAGCGTTATCCATTACACCACCGAGCCACGATAGCCACTTCTTGTGTGACGTGTATAGTTTTAGTATAATTGCTTGTATCATACCGTCGCTGGTTGGACCGAATTGACTGGTCTCTATTGATATATGGGCTGGTGTGCGGATGCCTGGATATTGCCTGTTTTAATTATATATAGTAATGATGGATTCCACTGCTAGTCACTATCCATCATTACTATGTATCTTAAGCTTATGTTTAAAACAACATACTTATAGGTCTTTCATGATACTCTTTTATGGAATTCATCCTTGAAGTATTGAAATGTATCGCTAATAACGATGTTGGGGAATAGAGTAATGAATTCAGCAGTATGCTGTTCCGAAAAGAGTTTAGAAGTGGTGTGTTTTCATAAGATTACCTTCTTCAGCCTATATTAAGTATATATTATTAAATGTTTGCATATAATATTGTAGGAACTTGACTTGCCGTGTGACTGATACACTCTGATTTGAGATAAAACAGAGTTCACGTTTTTTTATTTTTGTTACAAGCCTCCATTAGGCGACTGTTATCCCTTAGCGAGTTCGTTGGCGCGTACTCCCGATGAGTCCGACACTAGAACGAAACAAACCTCTAATGCTGTAAGATTCTCAGAGGTTCCTTAACCGATGTTAGTCCATGATGAACACCAATCTGAGATAAAATATATTTTCCAAAAAGTTCATTGTAACACCGAGTTTCACATGTATAGCTATTACTTAGTAGAACGTTTGTTTGAATATTTCCCTTTACTTAACTTTCCATTTTATGATATGCTGCAGAAACACCGAATGCACGACTGTATTTCACAACAAATGGAAGTAATCCAAATCCATGGAAAAGGAAAATAGCTGGTCGTGAAGTGACATTTGTCTATAAAGCACCATTTGCCCTCCGTTCAGGTAGAAGAGTTGTTAAAGCCATGGCTGTTCACAGGTAATCAAATATATTAAATTTTCATTATTTTAGTCCTTTGAAAAATAATTTCTATCACTAATCAATGCAATTAATGAACTTTCATTTCTAAGATCATTTATTATGATATAGTATAGCTTCTGCATAAGTTTCATTCCAGTTTAATTATTAATGAAAAAATGAAGCGGTTTGCAAATGATTTACAAATCGCATGGTTCACGTTGACATTTCCCACAGGTGAATAATTTTTCAACTACCAGATAACTATAGGGTCAACAGAGTTTCCATTGGAAACAATATCAAAGAGTGTGACCTCTGACACAAATGTGCCATGAACTATCGATATATGCTACCACTGTATAACTTGGGGAGTTAGAAATCATTCAGACTGATTTGTGGATTTTACCAGTAAGTAATTTGGTTCTACGAAATGAATTTGTCCGGATACATGGTTGATCAGCTCGACGCGAAACATGTGAAACAACCTCTCATGTAGCTGCAGAAATCGATAGATCACCCTAATGGATCCATCGTTAACATAATGAGAACTCAGGCAATTTCGAGGCATCCGCACAGGAGCCCATATGCCAATAGAGACTGATCAATTCGGTCTAATCAACGATGGTATCATATAAAAACAATCATGCTATGTGATCAGATTGTTAGAAATCTATGATAGAAATTCATCATCATTTTCTTCGATGAACTACACCTTCTAATCAAGCTATTCAAATTCAGATAACGACCTAATTATTTCATATTTTCATGTTTTTGACTTTTCTTGATAAACAACATTTTCTAAAAGTAATGAACTTACCAAATTATTCCCCTTTAACCTATTTCATTTTCATTTATTAGTATAACAAATGTTGAAAGTCATACTGTTACACGAAAATTCAACGTACTGGAGGCTAGTACAGAGTATAAACAACAAAAGTTGAACAAGCAGTCTAATGTAGATGGTGAGGAGGATAATACAAGTGATGTCATAGATATGCTTGACAATTATGATGTCAATAATGATGATGATGATGATGAAGATTACAATGATGGTAATGTTTATAGTCCAGCAGTTATACGAAGGGTAAGCTAAGGTTTGTCAAGTTATTTTACAAACATTAATATAGACGTAAAACTTGGGCATTGTGTTACAATTTAATTCCATATTAGATTTGTTTATTTGATATCCTATGATTTGGTAAAATCAAGACCACTGCTTTTCGCTGAAACTATTACCATTATACTAATGTGTCATATGTAATCATTTCTCAAGCGTATAACTTCCATCAATTCAATCGACTTCAGGGAAAGATTTAAGATTGATCTCCTGATACGAAAACCTTCCAGTTATTCAGATCTTGGTTTAGCAGTAAAATTCTCCACATCTCTGGTATAGGTGTTGCCTCATTCAGATTACATGTACTGGTTGGGTGTTGGTTCGATAAACAAAAATTCCATAATCAATCTCTCTCTCACTCTCCACCTAGTTATATTGGACTTAAGTACAACAGGTTTAATCAAATGTCTGAATGATAGAGCTAGAAAACTGACTGACTAGTCAGTGTAAGGATGTAAACAAGGAATTGAAACAGGTAAACGAAGGACTAATACTTAATAATTATCCTCTACAGTTTATTCAGAAATTTGTACGAACACACAAGAAAGGAAAAAACAACAGTAACACGACTACGAGTAATAATGACAACACAAATAGGAAGGAGTTCACAGCCTCCATTGTGTTACCATATCAGGAAAGTACATCACAAACGTTATGTAGGATCCTGAACAAAGCTGAAATCAGTGTGTCATTTAAACCTACAAACTCACTCAGAGATAAGCTTTGTCGGCTCGCTCAAGCATCTGATAGATCGAATTCAGCAAAATAATCTCACCTATCAAATTCCATGTAATGACTCTGAGGCCGAGTGCATAGGTGAGACTAGCCGATCACGTTCAGTTAGAATAACAGAAGATAGGAATTCACCTAGATACTGAATGACAGACCCAGATAATATTGATAATCTGAAAGGAAACTGGACTATTGTAATGTATGTATTGACACACAAGCCCACCATTGGGTGAGATTGAACCAGTGTACTTAAGTCCAATGTAATTAGTTGGATTGAGAGAGAGAGAGATTGATTACTGAATGTTAGTTGATCAAATCAACACCTAACCAGTACATGTAATAGGAATGATATGACACACATATACCAGAGATATGGAGAATATGAGGTGACAGTACTATAAAACCCAGATGTCGAAAGTAATATGATTACATTGATATGATTACGAGTAGTAATAATTTATACTGGAAACATCATCAAGTAACTAACACTGCATCACTCACTGTGTGTTATAAATCAGATAAACAAGTCTTATATGGCATTTTACGAACATAATTGATTGTGAGTGATGATTGAAAATGAAATGAAAATCTGTGTTGTGGTAGTATTCAAAACAGCCACCTCCATGTTACCGGCCTCGTGCTCTAAGAGACCCAGCACCTACTGACAAGATCTTCATCATACTTGACTTCAACTACTAAGGGTTTTTCCCGATTTCTGTGCTGATTGTGTTTTACACAATCATTACAAAATACAAATTTACTTGAATTTGGCGAGAACCGGGCCGGCAACTCAGAAGTCCCTGGTTCGAATCTTTTTGGAGGTTAAATTTTCACTTTTCCTTCAATCATCACCTAGTATGTATAATATAAGTATACCGAATCATCCCTACATCAGATAGTCAAAGTAACAAGCATATTATTACTACTTTACAGCGTAACGATGAATTCACTGATGATGTAATCGAAAATTTTATGCGCAGTAAGTTGAATTACATCATTATTAACATTACTTGAAATTTTTGATCCATTAACTGTCTAATAAACAACTTGAAGGGTTTCTGAGAAATAGACACTGTTGGTGATAGGTAGTAACAGCAGGGTATATAAAATTTACACTGGATTTTAGTTAGTTTCAGGGATTCTTGTGCTGTCACTAGGAAGTGGGTGCGGTGCTGTGGATCGTTGGTCTGGGGTGGGTTACACGTTCAAACTCCGTTACATCCACCAAGATCTAAGCAGTCAGGTAGCATCCTTGGTTCTTACACAACTGGAGCAACTCACTTCTTACTGGAAATGTGTGAACATGACTGATTCTCCTCTCATTTCATAATGTACAAGTATTTCTTATTGTCAGTTATTTTTTAAAATGAACATTCGATTGACTGAGCATTAAAAGATAATTGAATACTAAAGGTAAAGGTAAGTTAAAGGGATTATACAGGCGTTACAATATACAGCAACTAGCAGAGGAATCCAGAACGCACGTATCGTCCTATTTGGGTCTCGTCAGCTGGGTGTACCTGCACCCCAGTGTGGAGTGATGTTATATATATATATATATACATATATACATATATATATATATATATATATATATATATATGACGTTACCACTACGCTATCCGGTTCGTGACACCCTGACCTTTTGTAGCACTCATGATTAGATAACATGAGAGTTATTGCTTTCCGGTGCTAGTCAATGTATAAAATTCTGGTTTTTTTATTAATTTCACATGCTCAATATAGGACCAAAGAAATCTTCTTCATATTGTGAACGTATGCTTAGCCGGTAGTATGACCTAACACTATATGAGAAGTACGAGCCTAGCAGACTACGAACAATACGAATCTAACGCTAACCAGAACGTCAATCACCACAACAACATAACTAACACCACGTGAAGACAAGAAGAGAAGACAGACCATTGACAAAGCTTTTTATTGTCTCAACAACAGTGAATACAGTTGACAATGCTGTTGAATATGTACATTTCTAAATGACTTGTTAACACTTAATCCACATATAGGTAAGAATAGTAAACAACCAATCATAGTTTAACCTTGAGAACAGAGGGGAGAAAAACCAGTAACGGTGTAAAAATGACAGCAGGCAAAACCTATGCAGAACTAGGAGTATATAGCAATATATTTGTATGCAAGTAAACATTTGACCTGTTAAAAACAAGTAGGGAGATTATGCTCTACAAAGTTTCATTTATTACTATTCACATATACCTAGAAATCATCATGCCAACAGCATTCCCAATTTCTTCAGGCTTTTAACAACAGTTTTCACCTGAAACCGATACTTTTGTTTTAATCACAGCCTCGTAAACTTCTGTAAACTATCCTACTTCCTCTCTCTTCTGATTTCTTCTTTAGACCACTTAACAGTTTAAAAGATGAAGCTCAGAATATTTTAATTAAACTTGTTAAAGTGGATTCTTGATAAAACATATTTGAAATCAGTTTTTTGTATAAATATCTAGTCGTTTAAATCCCTCATTTAAGGTGGTATTCGTCGTGGAATGGTATTAATTGGGGAACCACTGAATACTTACGAGCTGTTTCATCATAGAATAGGATTCTTCACTTGTGCACATCTACGATTCTGCCAGGAATAGAACAAAGGATATTCATGTGTAGTAATGACCACGTTGTCATTGGGCCAGTGAGTCAGAATCCTTCAACTTGAGGAAATGTCACCTTGGGTCAAGTTATCAATGAGCATTTGAGGGTAATTCATTTTGGAAATTTGTAAAAATTTATTGATTTCAAGGGGTTAGAAATATTTTAATTAGCAACTGCTGACTTTCATCGTTTTGCTAAAATGTTGAAGTTATCTGTGGCACACACAGATGTCACTAATTAACTTCCTAATTTTGATCGACTCGACTGGACTGGATCATGTAACAAAGTGTGAGGGACGAGAAAATGGGCATACGCTGGACCTATGAAAACAGCCTAGAAGATTTACATTTCCCCGATGATGATTTATGTCTAATGTCGCGCAAGCTCGAAAATGTACAGGCGAAAACTAACAGGTTGGCAGAAGAGGCGGAGCGAGGCAGCGAAGACGGGACTTCAAGTGAATGTAGAGAAGACAGAGGTGATGAAGATACCCAACCAATAACAACAACAAGAATCACCGATCACCATCAAGGGGAGAAATCTAAAGGAAGTCGTATGTTTCACCTACCTAGGCAGCATCGTTTCAACTACATGCGGCACAGGCACAGATGAGGACGTCAAAGCCAGGATCGGAAAGACATGGTGACATGGAGGAGATCATGTGAGGAAGAAATGAAGGCTTGTAGGCAGACGTGGAGCCAGGATGAGAAGACTAGAGAGAAGACAATGAAATGGTGATATGCTACTGAAGCCGTATGTTCCACTAGGGATCCAAGGGATAAACAATAATAATCTGTAGCACACATTATATGTATTGACTAGTTAACAGTTAAGCAGATTAAAATCATAATTTTTAACTTTCATAAAGAATTTATCCTTTCTTTAAGGAAATGCAGATCAAGGTTTTGCTGCTACAAATCATTCAGGTACACAAATCAACCTTTGGGGACAAATGCCAGGTTTAAATTGGGATGTACGTACACCGAATTCAGCCAATATTTCTGGTTCATATCCATTATTGAACAATAATAGTTTACCATTTTGGTCATCACAACTAACAAATATGGAGAATTTTGTAAGTCCACAACAACTGAGTACAATAGCCAATCATTTAACTCAAGTAAGCTGATAATAATCTTGTAACTTTTCAGTTGTTTTAATTGGTTACTATGGTTTCATTCTATTGATTGTTTATTCAAATTATTAGAAATTTTAGTTACTTTCCTTGTAATAATAAAATAAAATGACTGATGGAGATTATTTCAGATCAAGAAAGTATGTAAATTTGATTTAGTTTATAACAGACTAACACCATTTAGAGAACCATTGGAAGCCTAGGAGACTTGAACATCTGTTTCGATCTAGTATATTGAGTACCACCTTGAAATAAATAAAATCTCGATAAATCTCAAAGTATATTACTGTATAATGGTCAGTGATGATATGCTTTCAGATGAAAATCTTAGTGTTAATAAGAAACCGTTAGCTGTGAGGTCAACCGGACGAAAGTAAACCAGATATCAACTGAATACCTTGATGAATAGTTATGGTATATCGTAAAATTGACAGAAGTTGGAAACTGTGAACCACTGAACTGCTTGAACTCACTGGCAGAATGGTTAATGCACTTATTGAGAGACCTGAAACTTCTCAGTCCAACCATAGGCGTGGTCGTGGTTGTACATTGCTGAAGAGTCCTATGCGAGGACGAAACCGTTGTCCAGTACTTCCAGTTTTTCAGTAGTTCTCCAACTGATGTCGGTCTATGGTGTTGACCACCTTGAAGGACAGTATATGTTCAAGAAACGACTTTGTATAGAATGTATACTGGATAACTTCATAAATGAAATACCTGTTCCAGTTAAGAATTTATACAATATTCGATAGTTATTGTGCAATGAAGAAATAAACTTCGATGCGTTGAATCTTGAAAACATTCAGTGGACTTGATCTCTTTCCTACACTGTGTTTATTATAGTTTGATTAGACGAATGGCAATGCTGCTTACCGTGACCTATTTAGATATATGAAGAGATAACAGCTAGCAAAGCTTCTTAATTATTGTTTCCGAGTTTCACAAACTTACAGTTCACACCTTGATATTGAATACCTTCGAAGTCGTATTTTATTTTAATCCGAGTTCTAGTGAGGCGAGTAGCATGTTAAATGATCTCTAGTAAATCGAACATAAATAGAACAGTGTTGTTGAAGTACAGACGAATGGTAGTGAGCTCCATTGTTTATGTATATATATATGGATTTCAGGTTGGAATTCACCATAGACTGACATCAGCTGGCGAAACCTTGGAAACCTGAGACCACTGGATAGCTGTTTCGTCATAATTTTGGACACCTCAGACAGGGGTCGGACCCAGAACCTTCAGGTCCTGCAATGACATGTGCCCACTGCTGGGGAGTCCCATACTAGAACGAAACAGCTGTCCAATGCTCTCAGGTTTCCCATGTTCCTCCAACTGGTGTCAGTCCATAATGAATGCCAAATTGAGAAATCACTAAATCCCCACAAATTCCTAGAATGATATATATATATATATATATATATATATATATATATATATATATGCAACAAACAGAGGAGAGAGAAGAGGGGGATACGCTGGACCGCGGAAAAGAACCTAGAAGATTTAGATTTCGTCAGTGATTTATGTCTAATGTCACACAAACTTGAAGATCTACAGGCGAAAACTAACACGTTGACAGAAGAGGCAGCGAAAACGGAACTTCCTTTAGGTGAACATAGAGGGGACAGAGGTGATGACGATACTCAACCAACAACAACGATCTCCAATCACCATCAACGGGAGAAACTTAAAAGAAGTAGTCTCTTTCACCTATTTAGGCAGCATCGTTTCAACTACAGGTGGCACAGGCACAGACGGGGACGTCAAAGCCAGCCAGGATCGGAAATACAGCAAGGCAAGCGTTCATCAACCTGAAACCAGTGTGGAGATCTACTGCACTCAGCATAAAGCGTGAACAAGATCCGGATTTTCAACACCAACGTCAAGTCAGTGCTTCTGTATGGCTCAGAGACTTGGCGCGTTACGAAAGGGATTTCCAATAAACTACAGACATTCATCAACAACTGCATACCCTGGCTCGTTAATGAAGACGGAGATCAGATGGCCAGAAAGAATAAGCAACAAAGAACTCTGGCTGGCTGGCTGGCTGGCAAAGAACCAACCAAGAACCTATCACCCAACAAATATGTAGGAGGAAATGGAGATGGATTGGGCATACACTGAGAAGGCCGACTGGGGACATCACGCACCAGGCCCTCGAGTGGAACACCGATGGAAAGCGATGAGTTGGGTGCCCAAGGGTGACATGGAGGAGATCCTGCGAGGAGGAAATATTCATATTTTTGACTAGAAACGTTTCTGGATATCCATTACCACTGAGTATATAATGGATAATTTTGAGTTTTTCATGAATCAAACATCTGACTAGATTTCTTTTATATTGCAAGAGGATAAGACTCAAAAAATGAGTCTGTCGACCAGCTGAAATCAGTTTCCGATTTACACTATTTTCTATAGTTCCATCTGTCTACATTGTCAATCGGACATCCAAAAAGGTGATGCTATCCTCACTTTCTGTCTCAATAGTAAAGGTCGTCGCTGGATGGACGCCATTACATTTATCCAGTACAATACTTGTATCATCCTCCTTCTTCAGAGTTAGGAATGTATCATACACGTAATGATAATAAAATTCTAACCTGATTACTATGCTTTCCAATGGGGTATTTTCTAATTTTTTTAATAATTCCCATTGTAACATTAAGAACAAGATATTCAGCGAAGAGACTCTTTTCAACGAATATATTTTCAATCTGTACAATCGTATATATATATGATATTTGGAAAACATTATATCCTGTGAGGAAAACTAAACACTATAATAGAGCGGGTGATGACATAGGCATTTATGATTATAATAACAATTGAAGTGCGAATGATAACAAATAGATTATGTAATATATGGAATGGTTCATAGAAGGTGTATAACTCAGAAAGGGGTGAAAAAATTGTTGAAAATGGTAAACCAATTAAGTATTATGTAATGGCATTGGACAAATTGGACAAGATGAAGTCAATGTTCTCTAAAAGGATTAAGACAATTAAGTGAAATAACACCGGAAACTAGTTGAAGTGAAGGCGATTATAATAACAATAATAGTGATAAAGGAAGGATACAAAGGTTAAATTAACAAAGTGGGAGGGGAGCTAATGGGGTGGGAAAATGTTATGGCCATGATAAAGACAGTGACTGCACATACTTCTTTTGAACACACACAGATCAGGTCTTAGTTCATGAATAGCTAAAGCTTCCGCTGTTTTAAGGAGTTGAAAATGAAGAGAACGTGGGAGGTTTGGGCGAATTTGATAAATAATTTCAAAGTCATCGTCTGGATTTGTTGTGTAATGGAAGTCAATCAAATGTTCTAGAATCGAACTTCTAACAGACTTTCTTTCACCTTTATAAAACCAAGCAGGAACATGTTCTCGTATACGTGTAGAAAGCATTCTCTGGCTACGGCCGATGTACCTTGCTGCAGAAGAGCAGGTGAACTGGTAGATGCACTAAGGAGAAACCTGCTAGGTTTTGAAACCGTCACTTCAGAATCGTTTGAATCTCCGTAGAATTCCTTACTGAAAAGGAAATGTATATACATTGTGCGTGTTAAGAGAAGTTCTTTCAAAGTAGTTACTATAATTCTATTTCTCTCTTTTTCTGTTTATCATTTCTCTACATATGAAATGTACTGTTTCCATCAAATAGGACTTCAGTGAATAGGGATAATACATCTAAGGACTTCATAAACGTATCATTCACATTCAAATCGATTACCCTTTCAATGAACTGAAAATTATCTTAAAAGCTATGCATGGTTAACAACTTCTTTGTGCAATGGTTGCTAGAGTTGTACTAGACATTTTTTTGTCGGATAATATAAAAAATTTGACATGTCAAGAATCGATCGGAGTTTTTGCACATCTTCGGTCAACCATATAATCTTGATATTATTGTACCAATATGTCTCAGTGTTGCGAAGCCTTGCTATTTCAATTTTTTTAAGGATTCAGATAGCTGGCTTTCAGCGTTTTCTTTCATATCAATATTGGTTGATAGCCTCTAAAATTTACCATCATCACTAAGAAGGCTGTTCCTCTTGTCTAGGAATTCTGCTTTGTTCATAATAATCATCTTTCAGCCCGCATCGAACCTAATGATTATTAGATTCTTGAAAGAAGATAGATGTATCTAAATACTTCTTGCCAACCAATTTACTTAGGTTAGTAAACATCGTACTGAGGAGTTATGTAGCTTCAGAACTAGAAATGGTCAACCCTTATTTCGTATGATATACATATATGGTAATTATGTTGGTAGTGGCTAGCAAAGGAATCCAGCACGCGCGTTTTGCCCAACTTGCGACTCGTCATAGTGGACAACGCCTTGGAGTTGGAAGCGATGGGTACGAGGTTCGAGTCTTAGTGGTAACAACATCACAGCGGTGTAGGTACATCCGGCTGACGAGTCCCAAGTAGGACGAAACGTGCATCCTAGATTCCTCTGTTAGCCACAACCAACCAAATCACAACAAATGACATTCAGGCAATATCGAGGCATCCGCATAGGAGCTCATATGCCAATAGAGGTCGAATAATTCGATCCAATATAACAACGGAGAATTACAAGTATATCAATAAATAGTAACAGATACATATATGCTAATGAGTTTTTTTTTACTGTATTACATTACTTCAATTTCTAGTGTATAGATCAAACACGTCATATGACAGTGGCAGAAGTTCGTGACCTTGTACAACAATTGACAGACAAATTTACTGCAAAACACAATGATGTCATCAATTTACAAAGTCAACCATTGTTGGCTATTAGTCAAGGAATGGGCAATGTGAATGAGCAAGTAGAACATGTAAAAGGACATTTGATTGAATATACCAAGAAGGATATACAGTTTGCCAAAATTCTATCTCAAGCTAAAATGGGCAGTGTAAGTTAGATTCATGTATAGTTAATGATACTTAACTAACCTATTAGGTTGAATATTTCTTTGATTTGTATTCAGAGTTATTGTTAAATAATAAGGTGAAGCAACAATGAACACGTCTGAAGTCCACATTGATTAATTACTGGAGGATAATCAACTTCATGTCTAGTCAATTCTATCGAACATGTTTGCAAAGTGGCCATCAGATTAGGTGTCTCAGGAATACGATGCACTGAGATAGATGTTAGTTGGATCAGTACTTAGGAGTAGACTATATGAAGTTGATTACCTTCCAATAACCTGTGAGTGTACTTAACTCAGTCCAGAAGAAGGCCAATAGCGACGCGAATAACTTGGTGGCAACGTTTCTGACTGCAACACCGAGTGATGTGGATTGGAATCTCAGACGAGGGATCTGTTCCTTCAAGGTTTCAGATAACTCATGCTGAATAGTTTCAAACAGCACTAAACCCGGTTCAAGCAGAGCTTTCTGTCGATTGCCTTCATTCAGTTATCATTCATAGTCTACTTAATACCAATATCAACAGTCTGGACAGTAATAATGGCTTTTTTAGGCGGTTTCCTACACTAAATATCAAAATTCCACTTTTATTAGTAATCTGTACGAACTGGTTGATTTCAAAGTAGGTTTCGTTACAATCTAACAGAAGTTGATGAATTAACTGAAATCTGAAGGAACTAGATAACAGTTCCGATACTAGTTTCTGACTCTTCAGTAATACAGAGTTACACAATAGCCGTTAAGTTACTCCGACGGTTCTCAAACTGATCTCAATTCGTTATGGGAACTACTATGAAGCTTTCACTGTTTTGTCAAGATTGTTATCTCTTTCTTTCCTTCGTTTTCATTCAGTAGTACACTTAATAAAGACTCGATCCATGGGAGTTGCATCATGTATATATGATTAGTTATGTTGTATGGTGACAACTAGCCACAATATACAACGCTTTTTACTTATATGTGGTATTTGTAAGTCATATTCAAATAGTCATTTCTTGTGCGATAATCACATACTTCATATGTATGTCTTCAAACCATTACCCTACCATTGGACGAACAAAACTGGACTTGTTACACTATATATCTACTGCGTAATACTCATTGTTCAAGAGGAAAATATGGATAAGTCTACACTGGAAGTTATTCAGTCAATTATCCCTAGAAATTCTGTGTCCTAAAGATCAATTTTTCCAGGACACTCGATTTTTATTGATATATATATATATATATATATATATATATATATATATATATATATATATATATATATACAGAACTATAACAAGACTCTACTTGTCATCATGTGAACAAATCGTGCACATAATCTGTCCCTTAAGCAAAAATAACGAATATAACGTTGAATAAGTGTTTCAGTTGCATTTTCAACAGTGTAATTTACTTATTCCTGTATGACTGTAACAAAACACTTCTGATTTTGACAGTGTTGTGTTCTCTAAGTTGAATGGCTTAGTTCTGAAGCTGTTATTATCATTCTAGATGACATCAGCAGCAGCATAAACTCTAAAAAGAAGTCAGCTTTAGGATCTTCTCCACAAGTTGCCTGTCTTGATGACCTTGAGTGATTGGTTGTTTTTCTACTTGTTTTGTTAGTGTCTCTGTACTTATTTCAATTGGTTTTCCTACCGAGTTGAACTTTGCCCTTCTTTTCATCTCTTGTATTTCTTTATTGTCAGTATCTGTTTTGACCCATTGACTGGCATTCTTTGCTTTTTCCTTAGACATTAAATTTCCATACCCCCTCAACTGAACCTGTACTAGTTAAGACTAATGTGACACTTTTTCTCGCCAATGGTACACATTTTGTCGAACTGCACATAACTACAATGTTCAAGTTTGATGCCTTACAATGTATTTTCATTTCAACAGCAAACTCTACAAACCGAAGAAAGGGAGGCCGAAAGGATAGCCTATATGAGAACTTATTGAAGGAGCAGTAATACAGAGACAGAAAACTGCGGTATTACTATTCATCAAATAAACCAAACATTTCAGTCCGCTATATGGGTGATACGTTTCACATCATTAATCCATATCAAATTCAAAATTGTAGAGGAATTAAACAACAAACTTGCATTCTCAAATGTTCTGATCACTAGAACGGATTCGGAAAAATTGGAAACTGAAGTATACGAAAAACCAAATCCACAACTACTCTAGCGGCAGTCCAACAAACAACACACTAAATTGTTTGCATAGAAAAATTGTCTAGAAGAACTAAGACTCATTGTAGTACATCAATCCTGAGGAGGAAAGAAGAAAATTATTTGATGAGTGTTTTCTAGAAGAACGTGTATCCACTCAGTTTCATCAAGAGATATTTTACTGATTCACTGTCAACCAGAAAATTATCCTTGGAAACCAACAAATGGATTGTCTTACCTTACATTAGGAAGGTCACAATCAGATTACTGAAGCCTTCGGGAATCACTGTAGTTCACAAGCCTACAAAATCTCTTCACCTTCTGTTATGCAGGCCAAAATGTACAGTAGTAACGGAAAACGAACCAAACATTATCAGTGAGGTAAACCACAGAAACTGAGGAAAACACGATATCAGACAAATTGATTATCCTTTTCCCATCAGTCTATATGAACTTCAACTTGCAATGAAGCGTCATTACATAATCTTTGCTCATATGAATACATGAATACTGGATACTGATTCGACTGGGGAAATGTGGAAATCCTGAATACAGGAGATACAGCGAACGTCAGAGAATTGTTAGCTGATTGTCATTCAGGTCAGTCAGCTATGAACAGACGTATGAACATTAATGGAAGCTATCAACTGGTAAGCACCACAAGAAATGAGGAGAAGGTCAAAGTTCACGTCGGCAGAACAACCGACCGAAATACTTACAGAGACAATTACAAGATTTTAACATAAACAGTCGATCACACCCAAGGTCTTGACGACTAGCTACTAAGCCACCAATGGAGCAAACCTCATTGCTGACTTATTTCTGAAGTTTGTGTTGATGATGTTGTTGAGAATGACAGCACCATCAAAATCATCCTACTGAGCCCCATCATTTCAACAGGACTTCTGAAACGATCAAAGTTTTGCTTGACCCTGATAAGCGGTTTTAATAGTTCCACTGATTTGCGTATAACTCTTTATGTTTTGTACAAATATGGTTGAAAAATATTCTCAAACTTATGACACAAAGTATATGTCACTAAGAAGATTTACATTTTGTAAACTTGGCCTCAATACAGAGTGCGTTTACATAAAGTTATTACAATGTCTTCTATTCCCTTACATCTTAGGTGATTTCTGCTGATTTTGATGAGAATGAAGACAGTTTCTTATTAACCATCCAACTTGATAAACCAATTAAAGCTAGGCGTCTTTCTAAAACTCCTCACGGCTCTATTGAGAAACCAAGTCAAAATCAACTAAAAGTATCCCCGAAAATAGTCACACCTACCAAACCAAACTCTTCTAACAATGAAAGTATCACCAATTCACCTGAAAAGGTAAGTTCCCTTTAGTTGTTATACATTTCTCGTTGGATAAAAAGGATAAGCATTGTAAATCTGCCAGTCATCCTTCGTAGTAAAATCTATAACTTGTGAATTGGCTGTAACTAGTAATATCTGCCAAGGATGCCTGCTGTCAGCATTCCTATTTAATTTCGTTATAGATGTAGTAATGAACAAAACCTTAGGTATGCCTAGCTTCATAGGGATTGATCTACTTACTAGATGGTATCTGATTGACTTGGAGTACGCAGAAGATACCGTCCTTCTAGGTGAAGATGCTGACAAAATGCAGGGTCTTGTGGGTGCGTGCAGCAGAAATCTGAATATGTTTAACATGCGTCTCGCATCTGTCAAATTTAAGATGATACTCCAAGACTGGTCTGCTACAAGTACTCCCAGTTCAATGATAGAGAATGAAGTGGTGGAATGTGTCAACTACTTCACTTACTTGGTAAGTTACTTTAGGCCGAACGGGAGTAGAAGGCCTGTTTGGCACTTGCCAACCTGTGTCATCTCTAGTAGCCCGTTCTAACTTGTTAAACACCTGTGAGACATGACCTTTAAAAGTAGAAGACACAAAGCGCCTACAAGTTTTTGATGACAGTTGTCTCCACAGAGTTGTTCGCGTTCAGTAGAATCATATTGTGAGCATTCTCAGGTCGAGTGAACGGTACCATCCAAGACCGGCAAGCAGATTGATGAGATTGTGAACCTTAATAGGGGAGATGGCTTATACATGTACTGCACGTGCTGAGCCATCAATTACCTCAACGTGCCATACTAGGGGAAGTTGGACTATGTTGAAGAAGGGCTCTGAGTGGCTAGATAAAGACGTGGCGCCAGTCAGTGAAGTCCCTGAATGTTGGTTTGGGTCGTTCGAAAAGATGTAGACTGCCATTCTGGGGTCGTCGAGAAGACAGTAGTTCGTGGCTGAGGACTTTTATGAAATGACTGAAAATCGGTCACGGTAACGCATATGTATTCACTCTAACGGTTGTTTCCAAATCATCTCTTTGCATGTCACTCTGTTTATATTCACTTGTTCTTTGTATACCACCTTCAAATGTGACGAGTGGAACCGATGCACTTGTGTACAAGGTTCTACAATGGTTTTGTCTGTCTGACAACTAATCACATCCAGATTCGGTAGGATGTCTTTGAGAATAACCAGTACTGAATAACTAGCTTATTGTGTAGACGCTGAAATGTTAAATAATATCTCAAACTTACATTTCACAAAGTGTAAGGGTATCATTGTTATAGGTGAATTTGCTCATAACAGACAGTCTAGTAATTTACATGTAGTCACATTCAGTGTAATAATCTCTTGTTAAAGGTTACTTTAATTGGAATACTGTCGCCTGGAGTGAAAGACGATTCAGTTTGAAGATTTTTATGGATTTATTAATTTTGAGTTGGTATTGGCTCGATGCTAAAAAGATCTCCTGGATTAAATGCCTGATGATGTCACGTGCATGCTCTGCTGAGGAGTCCTACACGAAGATGAGACATTTGTCTACTGTTTACGAGTTTTCGATGGTTCTCCAAATGATCTCAGTCCACAATGAATACCAGCAGCAAGGGGTCATCTTTTACCTAGTTTTACGTTTCAACAGTTTTGACGGATATCCTTTGATTTCATAAAATAAAGACTACTGCTTTTCGCTGAAACTATTACCATTATACTAATGTGTCATATGTAATCATTTCTCAAGCGTATAACTTCCATCAATTCAATCGACTTCAGGGGAAGATTTAAGATTGATCTCCTGATACGAAAACCTTCCAGTTATTCAGATCTTGGTTTAGCAGTAAAATTCTCCACATCTCTGGTATAGGTGTTGCCTCATTCAGATTACATGTACTGGTTGGGTGTTGGTTCGATAAACAAAAATTCCATAATCAATCAATCTCTCTCTCTCTCTCTCCACCTAGTTATATTGGACTTAAGTACAACAGGTTTAATCAAATGTCTAAATGATAGAGCTAGAAAACTGACTGACTAGTCAGTGTAAGGATGTAAACAAGGAATTGAAACAGGTAAATGAAGGACTAATACTTAATAATTATCCTCTACAGTTTATTCAGAAATTTGTACGAACACACAAGAAAGGAAAAGACAACAGTAACACGACTACGAGTAATAATGACAACACAAATAGGAAGGAGTTCACAGCCTCCATTGTGTTACCATATCAGGAAAGTACATCACAAACGTTATGTAGGATCCTCAACAAAGCTGAAATCGGTGTATCATTTAAACCTACAAACTCACTCAGAGATAAGCTTTGTCGGTCGGCTCAAGCATCTGATAGATCGAATTCAGCAAAATAATCTCACCTATCAAATTCCATGTAATGACTCTGAGGCCGAGTGCATAGGTGAGACTAGCCGATCACGTTCAGTTAGAATAACAGAAGATAGGAATTCACCTAGATACTGAATGACAGACCCAGATAATATTGATAATCTGAAAGGAAACTGGACTATTGTAATGCATGTATTGACACACAAGCCCACCATTGGGTGAGATTGAACCAGTGTACTTAAGTCCAATATAATTAGTTGGATTGAGAGAGAGAGAGAGATTGATTACTGAATGTTAGTTGATCAAATCAACATCTAACCAGTACATGTAATAGGAATGATATCACACACATATACCAGAGATATGGAGAACATGAGGTGACAGGACTATAAAACCCAGATGTCGAAAGTAATATGATTACATTGATATGATTATGAGCAGTAATAATTTATACTGGAAACATCATCAAGTAACTAACACTGCACCGCTCACCGTGTGTTATAAATCAGTTAAACAGTTCTTATATAGAATTACATTCTACCACAGTGCACAAGTTTTACACACATATTAATGAAAAACCTTTAGTTTTTTTATGAAACGAAAGATATAAGATTATTTATAGTCCCATCGTTCGACATCTCACAAGGCAAAAATACTTAGCGTATTTTGATAAATTAACTTACAACACTACAAAATTTATAAAATCTACGGATAAAGTTGAGTGCTTTCTCACTACTCACTTTTAGACAGTCCTCTCAGCACTAGCAGAATTCAAGAAGGTGGTAACTCACTTGAAACGACGAAGGACAACAGGCCCAGATAGACTAGTTCTTGAGGTATATAAGGATGGCGGTAGAGTGATTTTAGTTAAGTTAACTGAATTGTTAACTAGTGTATTGGAGTTAAATATGACCCCTCTGACTGGTCTCAGTCACTATCTTCAAAAAAGGTGAGAAGTCTTCTTGTGAGAAATCAGCCTGACGAACATACTGTCTAGGATTCTAGGTTCTATAACCATTAAATGCCTCAGTGGAGCTTGGAAACAGCAGACTCGAGAAACCACGGGTGTATCGACCGAATATTAACACTCCGTCAAGTTCTGGAACGCTGATACCCAACAGTAGTTGTATTTCTCGACCTGAAGGAGGCATTCGACTCCATCGATCGAGAAGTCATATGGCATTGTCTCTGATTGAAAGAGGTGCTGAATAAGTACATCACCCTATTAGAGGCTCTTCACTCGAACACCTGTGGGTGTGTTAGGGCCTACGGTGAGATATCGAGTGAGTTGTGTTCGTCTAGTGGTGTCCATCAAGGATGTCTGCTCTCTCCATTCCTATTCAATTCCATTATAGACGTTCTAATGGACGTCTCCTTCCTGACATCCAACTGCGTAGGGATTAAACTAATCACAGGGGAATTTTTGGTTCACCTACAATACGCAGATGACATAGTCTTGTTAGATGAAGACGCTAACAAGATGCGGAGTCTTCTGGACACCTTGAATTGAAAGTTGAGAACTTTTGTGATGCGTTTCTCGCTATTCAAGTACAAATTGTTGTTCCAGGACTTTTCTTCGGCGGCACCGCGACTAACAACAGAGAGTGAAGGGATCAAGCACGTTGAACACTTCACTTACCTGGGAAGTCGGATTAGCCCTATTGTGTTGGTCAGTGAACGATAAAACCTCTACATAGATACGAAAGGCTCGATTGACTTTTGCTAAGATACACCATCTATGGTGCCGCCGGGTTATCTGATTGTCTATTAAGGGTCGAGTGTACTGTGCTGTAATTCGCTCTGTTCTACCATATACCTGTGAAACATGACCACTAAAAATAAAAGACAAGAGAAGACTTCAGGTGTTTGACCACTGTGGCCTTCGTAGCACAGGCCCTACTTAGTGGTGTCAGCATGTTAGTAACATAGAAGTCAGACGCAGAGTTGTAGGGAGGAGAGGTGAATCAGTTGGTGCTGTTTTGAAACTTCATCGATTGAGATGACTGGAACATTTTATTTATGCCTAACCACCATCTGTCTTGTCGCACAATGTTGTCTAAAGTAGTTTCAGGCTAGACAAAGGCTCGGGTTGGCCGAACTAAAACACGGCATCAATGCATCAAGTCCTTGAGTGTTCGTTACAGGTTCTAGGTGATATGGTTGAGAACCTATGTCAGTGGCGCAGATGCACACGCATATTATTTTCATTTTAATTGCTATACTTGATCTTATCATCTGATTCTTCCCCCACCCCTACTTTACTACTTTCTACTTATACATCCTTTGACCGGTTTTTCTTCCCTTCTTCATCTTTATTTTATTACCTTGTTACTTGATGTGGTGATATGAGGTGTGGTAACTTGAACTGTTACGCAGTAATGCCTGGTCCTATGCTGATCTTGATGATGATGATGATGATGAATTCCTTCCGTAGTAGTATATTTCACCAGAAAATTTCATCAAATCTTTAAAAAATTATTGAGGAAAATAAATTTGTACAATATCAAAATGTGGTAGACAACAGTACAATGGTACTGTTTTTCATAGCTATAGAATGCTGCTTAGCATATCTGTCTTTCCAGTTAAGTCGATCTAGTTAATTGGGAAAATTTTATTTCAAAACTTTCATACACATTTTCTTCTTCTAAAGTATTCTACATAAATTACGCGGCATTATGTCATTGCCTTTCAAAAAGATGTCGAATCATTCTATATTATGGAAGACTTTCAGATATTAGATGAGATGTAAACAATTTTTCTCTGATAATTTTTAAACTGAAGGTCCTGAGTTAAATCCCTGAAGAGATAATGGGTGAGTACTGCTAGGACAACATAGTTTTAACTTTCACACAATTTAGAACCAGTTATTATGATAGAAGCTGTTTTTTCAATATATCTGGAAGTTATATTCGGGGTTATAATTTACTTTAGTGTTCATATGATTTCTGACAAGTTGTTAAACGTTTTCATCAATATTCGTGTCCTTAATCTGAATGTAAAGGTAGGCATATTTGAAAAGCGGGTCAACTGTATGAATACTACATTGACTTGGTTCGTTAACTTTGTCTAACCTTAGATATAAGTTATATTTGTATAAATCTATGTTTGAAATAAAAAAATTCTAATGTTTCGTACACAAGTTTGTTCCGAGATTCTTTTGAAAAACCTCAGTTATCATTTGACTATCTGAGATAACCATAGTTTGACAGACTGGTATTTATACTGGGTGATGATTGAAGATGAAATGAAACCTTCGATCACGGCCGGATTTGAACCAGCGACCACTGGGTTTCCAGCCCGATATTCTACCAACGAAACCATGAGGTCCAACTAACGGTGTTTACTGGTTCGAATCAGGCCGCGGCCCAAATTTTCACTTCACCTTCAGTCATCACACAGTATAAACCTCAGTTAATTTTATAAGGGACCGGATAAAGAAAGGTGTGAATTTTGATTGAATATATCTTAGCTGAGTATTGTGTCGATTGTTTAAAGAAAATTTACACACATGCCATTCTACAATATCATTTTGCTGGGGTTGTTACAAGTTTTCTAGAAACTTAGTGATTTTTGTGTTATGTCTTTTCAATGAGACACAGCAATCAGTAAACTTTAAACTATGTTCATAACTTTGTAACCCATAATGTGGTACATAGAAAGTAATCATAACAATATAATAATATTCATCTTCTATGTCGCAGTAATCATCTAAGCTTATGAAATCAAGTCTACGAGTTTGTCTGCCGTTAAGTATTTATCGTGTACAATAAATTCAGTTATTTAACCATATAATTAGCTTTAATATTGTATTTTACTGAATAGACAAGTCAAGCGGATAGTATTTCTGAAGAAAGCAAACCAGAGCCGAAAGATATGTCCTCTCATGATCGTTACCGTGAAGTTGAAGAGTATCCGGTATGTTATTGTCATATCTTACCATTTTTTATTCACTATCCGTGTATTTGTGTCATTTCTTTTGCTTACTGTACTAAAGAATACGTTTTCTTTATATTGGGTATGGTAGAGGTTAATTGAGAAGTTAAAAAGCTTCATATGACAGGTGACTATCGATAAACATGAAATCTGACCTTATCTGAGGGTTTGTGGAAACTTATTTATTGATTTTAGATTGGAATTCATCAAGGACTGATATTAGTTAGAGGAGCACTGGAAACCTGAGAGCACTGGAAAGATGTTTCTTTCTCCACTGAGCCTCCTGTGCAGTGTACACCCATGATCCCACAAAGGACCGAATTTATTACCTTCATGTTTCGTGAGGAGCACGTTTCCAGTGGTTCAATTGTTTCTACTTCTGTCAATTCGCGATATAGTGTGAATATTTGTAGCTCAGGTGGATGGTCTTGGTTGCATTGTGTTCTTAGAGCTGGGTTGTTTAGTCGTGAAGCTTTCATTGTCTTTCTAGACAACATCATCACCACTAACTTCAGTATGAAGTGAGTTGACAATATTTCTCCGTGAGTGATTTAGTAGTTTACCTTGACAAAGTGATCTGTGATTGGTTGTTTCCTTTGATTGTTGTGTCACTGACTGTATAGATTTTCTTGTTGCCTGTTCCTCTCTTTTACCTCTCACCTCTCTGTCGTTTATCATTTTTAACTCATTGGTTGATAGGTTGGGTCAATGTCTATACATCTTGCTGGCTGACTGATTGACCTGAATGTCAAGCTTCTAGGAATTCCCTGATATTCTTTATGTTTCCTCTCTCCGTTCAATGATCTCAACATTGTCAAAATTGAATTCATCTCCATAGTTGTTATCCACGTGCATTAAGCGATGAGTGATGAAGTGTCGTGTGTGACGTTTAATAGTCAATTGGTGTTCATGTAGATGAAGGTGAAGAGGGTGACCATTTTGTCCAATTTAGTGTTGATTACAGTTACTACAGTTGATTTTGTAAGTGATATTGGGTTTGTCTTCTTTGGTTGTTGCATCCTTCGGTGTGCATAACAGTGTTTCCAGAGAACACAATACAACCAAGATAGTATGATTATCTACGAAGGTCTTTTTACACTTGGTATCCGCTTCATTTCCAACCTGCTGATAGTCTCCAACCAAATAACATCTTTCAAAGTGTACCACGATGTTGAATCTCCTAGCCTTGTGGCTACATTGTAAAGTGGTCAGGAAAATTCAGTTAACACTCAGGACTAGACAACATGAAGTTGGTTGCTCTCCAGTTACCATTCAGTGTATTTAATCCAATGTCACAAGAAGGCCAGTCCCAGTGATAATGTCTCCGGCTTCACCACTATTTGACGAGGCTTCGAATCTCAGTGGTGACAGTAATTCCACCAAAGTTACATATAAACCTTTCTGATGATTTCCTACAAGAACAAGAAACCTTGTTCCACGTCTTACTGGCGATTTTCTCTGACTAACTAACAACCATCACATTAGAAGATAGTACAACTGAATTAAGAATCATTTTACTGCCAACAGATTACGCTTAGAAACACATTCCCAAAGATTCAATGAAGAAAGTTATAAAATATTTTACCCATCAGGTGACTAGTAGTTTTAAACGATGTGTTGTGCTGAAGTAGTTGGGAGTTTCTTTCTTATTCACTTTCAATTGGATAAATGTGTCAAACCTGATAATCTGGATAAGTATAGTTTTACTCACTATGCTAGTCAGTAACCTGTCACTTGAGAACAGTTTCTTCCTTTCTATGTAAGCCATTTTCTATTGAAATCATTGCTCATGAGAGATTTTATTGCTTTCATTAAACGAATTCTTGTTAGTACCAGTTAGATGGTCTACAACTGTTCTCATAAATAACAACTAATAAGGATACTGGAAAAAAGAGCAAAAGGGGCAAGATTGTATAACCTTCATTGCTCAAAAGATTTCGAAAAAAGTTAGTCTTATTGATTAGTCAGTTCCAAGCAGAACTATGACTTTTTTAAATGATAAGACTTGTCAAATTGACATCGAATTTTGCTTAGCAGCCACACTTGTTGTACGAGGGTTGCCTAAAGTTCCATAGGTGGGTGGGGTTCAGACTTGAGTCACTAAGTCATAGCTCCACGTGTCTGCCCTATAGTGTTCAGAAAGTAACTCAACAAACAGCCTATCCTACCGAAAGTTTGGCAAACAAACTGTACTAAATAGTACAAGTTTTTATTATTATTATTATTGGAAATGTTAGACAATTTATTTGAGAATGAATAGAGTTACATGTCACAGACGACTATCGGTGAGCATGAAATCCAACGTTCGGCTTCCTTGTCTATTAAGTAGTATACGGAATTCAAGCAATCAGCTTCAATGTATGGAAACAGGATTATAGAGCGAAAATCTATTTGCAAAGATTCCCCTGACATCCGTAAACCGTGATAGTGGAATGATTTAAGGAAAACAATTTTGTTTTTAAGCTAAGTGATAACCTGGTTACTGCTATACTTATCTTAATGACTAACAGTGGGGTTCAGAAGGCACATTTTGTCCAATTTTGGACCCATTAGCTGGATGTATCTGTCCATCAATTAGGGATGTTGTTCCCACTAAGACTCGAATCCAGTTTGCATCGCTTTAAATGCTAGAGCTTTGTCTACTAGGCCACTGGGCACGAGAGCTACCTGTTTTGCGATAGGTATAACTTGTTGTTGTTTGATACTTCCAATCCCTCTTCGCTATAAGGAGCCAGATCTCTCGTTTGAGTTTGAAGCGATAGGTACTGGGTTCCAATCCCGGTGGTAGCAACATCACTCACTAGGGCGCAGGTACATCCAGCTGATGAGCACCGAATAGGACGAAACGTGCATTCTAGATTCCACTGCTAGCCACCAATCAGACTACAACGTAATTTGTAATCGGGCAGTATTGAGGCATCCGCATAAGAGCCCATCTGCCAACAAAGGTTCATTTCATATTCAGTTTTACTGTCAAGATTTAGCACTTCTCCATTTCACTCTTTATTCTCTTCAGTCTTTTGAACCTGGCTTCACGACTCCCCATAACCTTTCATTTCTTTTTCACACCGTCTCCTCCATCTTACCCTTGCCTCAGATGCCCAACTCGTCGTTTCCCATTTCGGTTCCACTTGAGGACCTGGCCTGGTGCGCGACGTCCTCAAATGGTCTTCTCAGAATATGCCCAATCCATCTCCACTTCCTTCTGCATATTCTTTGGGCGATGGGTTCTTGGCTGGTTCGTTGCCAGCCAGCCAGCCGGCCAGAGTTCCTTGTTGCTTATCCTTTCTGGCCATCTGATCTTCAGCATCGAGTAAGTGTAGGCATAAGCTGCTGACATATGTCTGTAGTTTGTTGGAAATGCTTTTCGTAACGCGTCACGTCTCTCAACTATCACATAGAAGCACTGACTTGACTGACATTGGTGTTGAAAATCCAGATCTAGTTCACGCTTTATACTGAGTGCAGTAGATCTCCACACCGGTTTCAGATTAATGAAGACGTGTCCTGCTGTCTTTTCGATCCTGGCTTTGACGTCCTCATCCTGTGCTTGTGCCACCTGTAGTTGAAACGATGCTGCCTAGGTAGGTTAAACAGACTACTTCCTTCAGATTTCTCCCCTTTATGGTGATTGGTGCTTGTTTATGTTGTTGTTGTTGCTGTCGTCGTCGTCGTTGGTTGGGAATCTTCATCACCTCTGTCTTCTCTATATTCGTCTGAAGGCCTGTTTTCGCTGCCTCTTCTGTCAACTTGTTAGTTTTCGCCTGTAGATCTTTGAGTTTGTGCGACAATACATTGGACATAAATCATCATCATGGGCAAAATGCAAATCCTCTAAGGTCTTTTCATAGGTCACACTGCCTGCGTCTGTCTCTTCGCTCCTCACACTTTCTTGCATGATCCAGTTGACCACAATCAGGAAGTTCATGGGTGATAGTAGGCGGTAACCTTGGCTTACTTCTGTCTTCACTTCGAAGGCATCACTGAGCTTTCCACTGTGAGCCACTTGGCATGTAGCATCATCATCATTATCATATAGCTACTGAATAAGGTTGATAAAGTTTTGTAGCATTGAAACCGTAGTGTCGAGGCAGCTGCCTTCCAAATTACTTCTCGGTCGACACTGTCGAAAGCCTTTTCAAAGTCGATGACGTTGTGGTATGGTAAAGAGTTGAGTGCTATTCTATGCTTTGTTCTATGATGATGCAAAGCGTTGCAATTTGATTCTCACATTATTTGTTTTTCCTGAATCCAGCCTGTTTCGTTCGTAATTTTGAATGCAGAGCATTTTGTAGTCTCTCTAGGATGATGCGGCTTAATATTTTGCTTGGGGTGGACAGGAGTATGATTCAGCGCCATTTCTTACAAAGACTTACGCCTCCCTTACTTGGGAGTTTGACAAGGTAGCTCTTTGCCCAATCGGTGGAATACAAGTTGATGCTCACAAATTATTTTGCCTATTCAACAATCAGATTGCCCAACTTAGTTAACATGTTGACAATCCTTACAACTAATTTAGTAGATTATATTCCTTTTGTCTTCTTCAGATAAAATGTCCTTTAGGTTTAATTGTATATATTCTGCAGGGATTCCTATGGTTTGTAAGACATTCTGATACCGAATGCATGAAATAATCCGTTGGCAGTTGCTGAGACATTTTGATTCGTTTTGTAGATTGAAGTAATTATTGTCTTGATACATGTTCTGTTGATAGACATTTCATTATAAAGTTGCTTAAATAGTCACTGGCTATGATTACTTCTTGAAGGTGGTTTTTTTCTATTGTTGGCAGTTGATGAGTATTCCAATGAATTTTGACACATGCGAACACTACCTGTACACAACTCTTCTTAGACGACTTTGAGTTGTACTTCTTGTGGTTGAAAACTTCACAAGTATATGTCACTCTCCCGTACACTTGAATCTGTAAGATCCCATCAGATTTTTCTAATGATAAAAACGTTTAAGGAAAGCAATTTCGTTAGTTTTTCTGCTTTCTTTGTGAACTGAATACATTCAAAATTGTGGTTGATAAGATTGAACATATTTCTCGTTTCATCCTTTGGGATAATTACAAAAGTATCATCAATGTAGCGAATCCAAATTTATGGCCTAATTGTTTCTAGGTGTCTCTGTTGTACTGAAAGTATACCATGAGACATTTTATTTTGTCTGTGTGACGCAACTTCACTTCTATTCAAATAATTTCATGCATTGATATCATATTAATTCACTTTTTAAGTTCAGCAATGTAGTGTAGAAGTAATTTGGCAGTTGCTTCAACACCACGGAATACCACAAACCTTTATCAACTTCATTCAACAACTATATGAAGACGCCACATGCCAAGTAATTCACAATGGGAAGCTCAGTGATGCTTTTGAAGTGAAGACAGGGGTAAAACAAGGCTTTCTACTATCACCCATGATATTCCTGATTGTAGTGGACTGGATTATGCAGCAAACAGTGAGGAGAGAGAAGAGGGGGATATGCTGGACCGCGGAAGAGAACCTAGAAGATTCGGATTTCGCCGGTGGCTTATGTCCAATGTCACACAAACTTGAAGATCTACAGGCGAAAACTAACAAGTTGACGGAAGAGGCAGCGAAGACAGGACTTCAGGTGAACATAGAGAAGACAGAGGCAATGACGATACCCAACCAACTCCACCACCACCAACAACAACAACAAGCTCCAATCACCATCAACGGGAGAAACTTAAAGGAAGTAGGCTCTTTCACCTATCTAGACAGCATCGTCTCAACTACAGGCCGCACGGACGAGGATGTCAAAACCAGGATCGGAAAAGTAAGACAGGCTTTCACTGGCCTGAAACTTCTGTATGGCTCAGAGACTTGGTGCATCACGAAAAGCATTTGTAACAAACTACAGACATTCATCAACAGCTGCATACGCTCACCCGATGCTGAAGATTGGATGGCCGGAAAGAATAAGCAACAAGGAACTCTGGCTGGACAACGAACCAACCAAGAACCTATCACCCAATTAATACGCAGAAGCAAAAAGTGGAGATGGATTGGGCATATACTGAGAAGGCCGATTGGGGACATCACGCGTCAGGCCAGGCCCTCGAGTGGAACCCAAATGGGAAGCGACGAGTTGGGCGTTCGAGGTGAGGGTGACATGGAGGAGATAGTGTGAGGAAGAAATGAGAGCTTCTGGGCTGTCGTGGGTCCAGGTTTAAAAGATTTCAGAGGAGAGAGTGCACTGGAGACGTGCTGCTGAAGCCTTATGTTCCATTAGGAACCCAAGAGACAAATAATATAATAATAATACATGTAGTGTTTGGGGTTCTTCGTGATATAACTCAAATTCTGTAATAACGGCATAGATGAATAGGCACTTTTCATCAATAAACTTTTGGATATTTTGCAAGTTAATACTCATCACAGACTGACTAACATCAGTTGAAGTACCATTGAAAACCTGAGCACCCTAGATAGGTCTGTCTTATTAGTATAGGACTTATCAGCAGTGAGACTTATGATCCTTCACTCCAGGAACTTCAGCCTCCGTGACCGTCACGTTAACAATGAGTCAATGAGTCAGAACCTGAAGATTATATGTTTAATCCCTAGTGAGGTCATGGCTGCACACCACTGAAGAGTCTCATAGTAGGACCAAACATCTGTCCACTGCTCCCAGGTTTTTCAATGGTTCTGCAGCTGGTGTCAGTTCGTGATCAACAGAAACTCCAAATTAATAAATGAATGTCGACAACCCCCCCCCCCAATTTGAATATTTTTATCAATGTTCATCTGTTTACCCCCTCTCTCTCTGTCTCATATACTTGCTGTGACGCTGAAATCACTGATTTCTATAATTATTTGCTTGTATTTTAATAATCATACCTATTACTCTTTACTATGCTATTATAATGTTTCCATATATTTCAAACTTTTATTAGCTAGAAGCAACTTTAAAACCATCAGCTAATTTTGATGTTGATAAAGATTGTGAAGGTCTACATCAAGCTATGGCTGGAATGCATACTAATGAAAAAGTGATCATTTCAATTATGGGTCATAGATCATCTGATCAACGAGTAACTATAGTACAAACATATAAATCAACATTTGGTAAAGATTTGACTTCGAAATTTAAATCTGAATTGAGTGGTAACTTCTATGATTGTATAGAAGCGTTGTGTTATTCTCCAGTTGAATTTGATGCTCGTGAACTCCGTCGATCTGTAAAAGGTGCTGGTACTGATGAAGATGCCTTGATTGAAATTTTATGCTCTCGAACAAATGCACAAATAAAACAGATCAAAGAGACTTATGCTAAAAGTAAGTTCATTTTTGTTCAATATTCTATCTCAAGTGATTACAAATAAAAGATCCGTTGCATTGATGATGAATGTTGGCTAGCAGTGAAGCTAAACTATCGAACTATATTGGTCATGCAATAAGTAACTATCGTAAATGATTAACCTCAAGGATGATGCCATGGTGTTTGAAGAGATCGTCTCTGAGGTTCATTCTCAGTGAGAACAGTGTCACTAGCTTGTAGGCAGGTACCCCCAGCTGACAAATTCTAAATAAGGTGAGATGCGCATCCCAGATTCCTTTCCTAGCCACCATCCATCATAGAAACATAAAAGTGGAATTGTCGCCTACATTAGGGCATCCCTGCAAGACTCTACTTGCTAATAATGGTCGATTAATTCGGTACAATAAATAACGGGAAACTATAGTCATATTGACTGTCTGAGATAGCTGTAGTTTAGTAGACTTGTATTGAAGCTGGGTGATGATTGAAAGTGAAGCTGAGATTTGAACTGCAGTGGGATTCGAACCAGTGACCACCGGATTTCCGGCCCGATGCTCTATCGACTGACCAGATATTTATTTCACTTCAATCTCCATGGGTTTCGCCCGACTACCATATGAATTTGTGACACATTACTACCGTTTGATTGTACTCTAGATTTCCCATTTGAATCGAATTCTAACTCAATTAGAAAGGGGGAGCATTCTACTGATTGTCATTTTGACTATCTGAGTTAGATAGCCGGGGTTTGGCAGACTTGTATCAAAACTGTATGTACTGACATCTTAATTATATTAGTCCAAGTAATGCTATTGTTTGTAAAGTTTATTTAATATAAAAGTGATTGTGAGAAAAACATTTATTGTCCCTCTCTAGGTTGGTTACAGAATCAGCTATTTTCATAGCAGTTATATACCAGACTAGGAGAAGACTGTTAACTAGACTTAGTAACATGTCAGTGGCAAGTTTCAACGCGAAAAGATGCGATTTTTCGTTTTGAATCCCACAGTTGTGGTCATGACCATATGCTAGCGTACGACTTTAAAGACACTTTACCCAGGATTTATTGTAATCACTCGCTAAGTGTTAGATCATGACGTACTAACTGAAAATCAATAGCCTTTGACCTTGAGACTTCATGTAGTTAGATAACACAGTGTTTACTTTCCGTATATTGAAATGTTTGATGGAAAAAGCAGTAAATTTGAAAACAATAAAATGAACTGTTTAAAAGCATGAAGTGCTATAATTGGATATCATGTATGTTGACTATAGTCACTACAGTGTTTGTAAACGTCAGGTGACTGATACCTCCTGAAAAATTCAAGCACTCATCAATTAGCCCTGAAGTAAAGGATTTACTACTGCTACCCTGCATGGCTGAATTAATTACAATGAACGCCTACTAGTATTATCTATCATTACAGCACTGTGTAACAGTGTTCTAACTTGTGAAGGGTACGAATTGTTTTAAGATTGAAAATATGTCTCGTTAACAGATGACCAATGTTCAGTGCCTTCTAACCATTACCATCAACTACGCAACGTATAAAAAGTCATCTCACTGCAACGAATCAGGCTGATAGTATGACCTGTAGAAAGACTATCATTGGTGAATTTTCACTGACCAATCAGTCAAAACTTGTTTAATTTACTAACCACAGCATTAGTTGATCAGAAAGCTTAAAATCTCTGAAACAAACTCTTAAACGCAATCATTATTATTTTTAACCCAAATAATTTAAAGTAAAACAAAACTGGCTATATTTTATATTGATCAGAATCGTGTAACAAAGTTAGTTCTACAGAAAGGAAGTGTTAATCGATTTGTTATCTGATACTTATAATTACCCGTTGCTAATATAGGGTCAAATCGCTTGCTATCTGTTATCATTTGAGAAAATGGATACTGCGTTCAAGTTTCAGTAGAGAGACCATGACTCATTCTGGTGCGAGTACATTCAACTAATTAGTCCTAAATTAGACTAAACGCACGTCTTGGAGTCACCTGTCAGTCACCAAGATGAATCCGAATCGCTTTGTTGTTTATAGATGTATAAGGCATCATATTTTATTGTTCAGATAGACACTGAATAGAATTTATACAGTAAGTTGAGCATTTTTTTCTGCAATTCTACTACGTAAGTGAAATCCAGTTGTTGAAGTAAAAATTAACACCAAGAGAAATAATAGTAGCTACTCTAATGAGTTGCTCATGAGGATAAAGCATATTTTCAATATGAAGCTTCTCGCTACTTCATTATTTTGTAGCACACAGGTATTCGCTAAGAGTACAAGAAGTCACCAGTGATGAATTTTAACAGATCATTCATAAGACGTAAACAGCAAACACCGACTATGCAACAGTAGTAGTAGTGTGAGTAGTAGTAGTAGTAGTGTGAGTAGTAGTAGTAGTAGTGTGAGTAGTAGTAGTAGTAGTAGTAGTGTGAGTAGTAGTAGTAGTAGTAGTAGTAGTAGTAGTAGTAGTAGTGGTAGTAGTAGTAGTAGTAGTAGTAGTAGTAGTAGTGTGAGTAGTAGTAGTAGTAGTAGTAGTAGTGTGAGTAGTAGTAGTAGTAGTACTAGTTTCAGCCCAGAACTTACATTCGTATACATCGTGTCCTGATATACAGTGTATCTTTCTAACTGAAGGACCACTTTTATACTTTGATGGAATAATCAGTTATCGCCTGATAAATAAGAACGAAACCTTCAGCACTCTGTACAACTATACTGTCAAATTAACAAATAAAACCCTGAGATTTCATCAGTTAAACCGCTTTTCTGATCTTCATTTTGTACAGACAGAAATGACTTGAAAGGTATTCATTCATGGTAATGATAGATAGTGGCTAGTACTGGAATCCAGGATACGCATTTCGTCCTATTTGGGACTCGTCAGCTGGATAATACTAAAACTAAACCCGTCGCAGAAGAAGTCGCTATCGTGGCTCAGTGGTGTAGTAGATAGCGCTCTGGAGTTTGAAGCGATCGCTTCCGAGTCCGAATCGCGACGGGAACAACATAACTCACTAGGGTGCAGGCATACCTAGCCGACGAGTCCCAAGTAGAACGAAATGTGCATTCTGGATTCCACTGCTAGCCACTATCTACCATTACTATAATTAGGACACAGGTCACATCGGGGCATCCGCACAGGGGCCTATATACTAATACAGACCAATCAATTCGATTTAATCAATGACGGTATTCATTTATGATTCAAATGGGATTCGCAAGTACTAAACAGTAGGTAGGGAGAATAGCTATGGGTTGAGTTAAAGTTTGATGAGTGATAATAATGAAACACAAAGGTTCTACGTTCCATCCCAAGTGGGGTCATGGATGCATAGTGCTTAGGAGTCCCATTCTATGACAAAACAACTCTCTAGTGTTACAAGGTTTTGAATGGTTCTCTAGCTGATGTCACTATGTGATGAATACCTGAAATAAAAATTTTTTTTCTACTTGATGTTGGATAAAGAATAATACCTCATACTGAAAATGATACTTGTTTTAAGAATATTATTTATTCTACTTTCCCTAGTATTCCCTAATCGTGATCTGGAAAATGATGTAAAAAATGATACATCACGTCACTTCAAACGTGTATGTGTTGCTCTTTTACAAGCTAACAGAGATGAATCAAAACAAGTGGATACAGAACTTGCTCGAAGAGATGCAGAGAGTTTATATAGAGCAGGTGAACAAAAATTGGGAACTGATGAATCTAAGTAAGTATTTATCGTTTATTTAGAATGAATGTTCTCATAAAAAAAGGCACTCACTTTTATAAAACTATCAGTTACTCAGTTAGTTTGTTTAACATCTTTCGAATCATCAATCCATCCAGAAAATTCAGCAAGATAAGCGTATATTGATGGTTAGTAGATTACAGAGGAATCTAGGATGTATACTTCGTCCTTGATTGGAAATCATTAGCTGTTTGAACCTACCTCTCAGTCAATTCTCTTTATCCCATAGAAACTCAAGCCTAGAAACCATCATGTTAAACACCAAAACGTTTTCTATTGGTCTACTTTGTCACAACAGCCACTACTTGTGAGACGGGTATAGTTTTGATGAAAACGAAAAGGTATAAAAACTAGTGTGTATTGTTTATACAAAGGTTTTCAAGGGAATTAAACAAGCTATACATATGTGAGCATCGAGCAAATCACAAACGCGAATATGAGGAGGCAGAAAATAAACTCGATGATGAGAGTATCATAATCCAAGTAATCAAGAGTCTGTTCCATCAAAATGAATAAAATCTCACCGAAAAGAGAAACGTTTCATACTTTTTGATTAAAAAAATCATCTAAACCTAAAGTATCAATGGAAGCATCCACCGCTAGACCTTGAGGGCCTGAGTTTGATCCTTATTACGACCCTAGGTCCGTATTGTTCAGAAGTTCCAAACTAGGACCAAATAGCTGTCAAGTACTTCCAGGTTTTCAATGCTTCTCCAACTGATATCAGTCCATGATGTATATCAAATAGAAAGGAACTTTCAGCTTAGAAATTGGTGTGGTGTGGACTGGGCATATTCTTTTCATTACTTTACAATATAAACTCGTAAAATAAATACTTGTAGCGTGAGACGTAGCAACAAAAGGCAGCCAATAGAGAAATTGTTTTCAGATCATGATTTATTCATGCACTGACATGATTACCTGATTGGACAAATTCGATGTCATACAACAAATTGGATTGGTTCATTTATGGCTTCATTTTCTGAGAGTTTTGTAAATATATATCCTAAGTGGTTCACAATTAGCAACTTCTGTCAATTCATGATACAGTGCAACTATCACCCAAGGTCTTCAGTTAGCATCCACTTCACATCCGACTGGCTGACTCCACAGGTCACGGTTTCTCATTAGAGTTTCCTGATATCCATCTAGAAGCAAGTCACTAAGGAGCACCATACAGTAATGTATTTTTGAGATGAATGGGGATTTTTAATTTGGAAGTAGTATTCATCATGGACTGACATCAGTTGGGGAACCATTGAAAATCTGGGAGCACTGGACCTGTGGGGTCAACCAGTCAGATATGAAGTGGATGCTAACTGAAGACCTTGGGTGACAGTCGCGCTATATCGTGAATTGACAGAAGTTGGAAATTGCGAACCACTGGGAACCAACCGAGTGGCTGAATGCTGAACGCGTTCGCTGTGAAACCTGAATGTCCTGAGTTCGGTCCCTGGCCGGGTCGTGGGTGCGTACTGCTGAGGAGTGCCATACTAGGACGAAACAGCTGTCCAGTGCTCCCAGATTTTCAATGGTTCCCCAACTGATGTCAGTCCATGGTGAATACTACTTCTATCTGTACTATGTATTTGTCTAATAAATTTGTCGTTGTTCTTGCAGTCACGGGTTGTCTTCGTCTTCTGAGTTTTCGCGGCTCAGTGTAACAGAAGGTACTGAGGGAGGTCAGTCGTAAAAGTATTCGGTTGAGGTATCTATTCAGTCTCAGTATCATTACATCCGCGCCCGTAATTCCACTAGGTCACGATATAGAGTATAATGAAATCGAAAGAGCCAATAATAATAATAGTTCGAAGTTTATCATCAACTTATTTTTCCTTCAGCTTTGAAAATTATTGCCAGATGAGAAGTTGCTTTTGATGAGTGAGTTATCTTACATATAGTTTGAGTGGTTCCTGTTTCGCCAAAATTCATATCAACAATGATTTGTCAGAAAAGGTCGCTGGCTCGAATCCCACCGCGGTCCAAATTTTCATTTCACCTCCAATCGTCACCTAGTTTCAATACTAGTCTGCCAAACCACGGCTTTCTTACATAGTCAAAATGAATCATAAAGTTAAGACTGTTACACAGTAACATGATGTAGACCTATGTAGTAAATCATGAACCACACCTACTGTGGATAGGTTTATACTACTTCATAGTTCCCACAAGGTTGATGTCGGTGTGAAATGACTTAATCTTAATACTGAGTACCTGAAAGTCGACTATCTAACCCACTGAACCATATCTAAGCTAAATACTGTAGGATATCATAAATTAAACTTGTCAACAACAAAATCTCTGAGTTAAAGTTCTGAGATGAAGTCAATTGTCTGAAGGTGTATCCGTGACATTTCCAACATCAACCTACTTGACATAGCTGAGAAAACATTTAAGGCTATTTCTAGAAATTGTAGTGAATACCCGTATATCAAGATGTGAATGTTCAGGATGAGTTTTGCTTTCAGCTAGATTTTTTCGCTTGCAAATATGTCAATTCACTTGCTCCTGTGGAGTAATGTATATCTGCCGTACTCAGCATTCGCTTTTCAAGCGCATTTCTGAACAAATGTCAGCCTTGTTCTACAGTGGGGAAAGCAGAACAGTTCACAGCTCTTTTCTAGATCATCTGGTCGATTGTGACTACCCGATAAGTGCAGAAAACAGCTCTGGTGTCATCTCTATAGGAGTTCGCACAAATCTCATGAAAGGTGTACTCTGAAAACTCCTTCAAACTGCGAAAGCCATGGCAATTAACATTTTGAAGCCTGAACTCTGCGTACAAAAGAAATTTGTCCAGTCACTCGAGTTGCAATGGACGTAACCTATAAAAACGTTTTCACCTTTAAAAGCCTCTTCATTCAGATTATCTCACATATCACATTCTTCCATTACTATAATTCTAATTTCTCTTTGCATTCACCATGTTACATCACTTAACTTAGTAACCATATATTAGTCCCACCATGATAAGTCTTCTTCTCATTACCATCTCAAACATTACGTAATTTCTCTTGTAATGCGACTTTTAATCATGTCTGAACTCCGATCCAAAATATTCCATGAAACATTTAACTGTTATAGGGTGAATTATATATATATTTATATATATATATATATATATATATATATATATATATATATATATATATATGCGATTGTACAGCTTGAGAATGATATCGCTGAAAAGAGTAACTCTTCGCTAAACGTCTTTTGTTCTATGACTTGATAGAGATTTTGAAATTATTGAAACATGTCAATCTTATGTTAGACATCTTCATCACAAGGAACTTCATAAGCGCTTCCTTGAGAAACTGTCATGCAATGATGATGTCTAGTATGACAATGGAACGTTTACCAATAAAAAAACTTAACTCAGAGAACAACTCATTTGGATAGAATGAAGTTACTTTTATAGTTTACTATAGATGTTTGTCAAAATCATGTGAACTGAAAGTACATATTCAAAACAAAACAAATGTCTTAAGTAATACTCAACAAAAAATCGACTACCTTTTTAATAGAATTAGTTATGTGGACAAACTCAGGAGTATTTTAACACACTATAAGCAGTTGATAGGATTATATAACTTCTACAGAATCATTTACTTTTTGAAGTAAGCGCTCATAGATTCATCTAACCTACTGATGAAACATTCGAGAAGACACCTTAACGGTTGATATTATTATTATTTTCCCGTTGAGTTCCTAGTGGAACATAGGGTTTCAGTGGCAGGCCTCCATTGCACTCTCTGCCCACAAGCTTTCATTTCTTCCCTACATGACCTCCAACTCCCAACTCGTCTTTCCCCTGATGGATTCCACTCGAGGGTCTGACCTGGCGCGTGATGTCCCCAATCGGCCTTCTCAGTGTATGCCCAATCCATATCCACTTTGTACTTCTGCATATTAATTGGGTGATAGGTTCTTGGTTGGTTCGTTGTCCAGCCAGAGTTCCTTTTTGCTCATTATTTCTAGCCATCTGATCTGATCTTCAGTATGATGTGAGCGTAGGCAGCTGTTGATGAATGTCTATAGTTTGTTGGAAATGCTTATCGTGACACGCCAAGTTTCTGAACCAATTGCAGCACAGACTTGATATTGGTGTTGAAAATCCGGATCTTGTTCTTTATGCTGAGTGCAGTAGATCTCTACACTGATTTAAGATTAATGAAAGCCTGTCTTACTTTTCCGATCCTGCTTTTAACATCCTCGTCTGTATCACCTGTAGTTGAAAAGATGCTGCCTAGTTGGTAGGTGAAAGAGACTACTTTTTTTAGGTTTCTCCCGTTAATGGTGATTGGTGCCTCTTGTTGTTGATCCTGTTGTTGGTTGAACTGTCGATTAGGTGGATAAATATAAAACCCAGTCATTTTCGTTATGAAACTGAAAATTGGAGGTAAAACTAACAGATCCTTTTCATGTAACTAACATTGAGCATTGAACAGACTTTATCTCCTTTATTTTAAGTCGTTATTACACTTTTCAAACAGATAGAAGGTATCTATTATCGAAACGTAAGCTAGGCAATTTCTATCATTTATGAATGTCAGTATATTAACTTGTTATACTTATGAGTACTTCTAAAATTTTATAGATAATAAAAACTTTATAACAGCTAACTATGGTAAACTATGATAATAGATAGCGTATAAAACTATCCTTCTCCATTCTTACCATATTCAAAGGTATAAAAATACTAGTTGTCCAGAGAAATGTACATTTTAACTGAGAAACTTGCTGATGCTTGTTATTCTCCTTTGAAATGATCAGCCATTGTTGGCAGATGGGCTGCTATCCGGATGCTTGCATATTGCTTGAATATTCCCTTATATATATATATATATATATATATATATATATATATATATATCGACGCATAATAGCTAAATATTGTTCAGGTTTGTATTTACCGCCAACTGATATATGTTAAAGAACTGTTGAAGACCTGAGAGCACTGGACAGGTGTTTGGTCCTACAGTGATACTCCTGTATAGTAAACACCTATGGCCCTGCCAGGGGATGAATCTGTGATATTTAGGTTCTAAATTTTGGCTACTATAAGGTAATTGACTGCCTGCTTCTTCCTATAATCCTCAGGTCAATCCAATTTTTTTGAAAACAAGTCATCCCTTAAGTATATAGATATGAGTTTAATTCAATACTAGGCATACAAATCGAAGATATCAGTGTACCAATTTCTGTGAACTATGATTCCAAATGGAATAAAGAATAAATGAAGATTTAGACTGGAGGAATAAATTCACATATTATTACTATTATCATTTATCCCTTGGGTTCTTAATGGAACATAGGGCTTCAGCAGCACGTCCCCAGTGCACTCCCTTCTCTGCAAACTTTTGAACCTGGCTCCACGGCAGCTCAGAAGCTTTCATTTCCTCCTCGCACGATCTCCTCCATGTCACCCTCGCCTCGGACGCCTAACTCATCGCTTCCCATTTGGGTTCCACTCGACGGCCTGGCCTGACGCGTGATGTCCTCAGTCGGCCTTCTCAGTGTATTCCCAATGCATTTCCACTTCCCTCCAGTGCATATTTGTTGAGCGATAGGTTATTGGTTGGTTCGTTCTCAGAGTAAATTCATATATAGCTATTATCAATCTACTCAGTTCACTGTTAAACATTTCCGTTGGGTAACTACACTTTGTAAAATACAACGAAGTGATACACTTAAAAATTATCATTTTGACTATCTGAGATAGCCGTGATTTGGCGGAGTTGTACTTATACTAGGTGATGATTGAAGGTGAAATAAAGACTTAGACCTCTGTTGAATTCGAACCAGTGACCACCAGGTTTCTGGCTCGATGCTCTATCAACTGAGTTACTAAGTCCCTTATATTTGAACTACGGCGGAACCTCGTAACTCAGTTGATAGCAGAGCATCAGACCAGAAAACTGGTGGCCACTGATTCGATTTTTAGAATACTCCTTTCCTATGTTTAAAACATGAATGAATTGATGTGATATACTGTTTTGAAGAGGCTTAAAACTAATGCAAATATGGTAATTACCAAGCCAGATAAAGGATCAGGAATAGTTCTTAATAGATCAAAAAAGAGTACATAGACAAAATGAATTCTTTACCTAGTGATGAAAGTAAATTTCAGAAATTAGCTGTTTATGGTGATACGACAGAGAAAACCGAGAAACATTTAACCGAACCACTTGAAAACGATAAAACAACAAGATTTCATTTCAGAAAACACCTTCGAAATGCTCAAATCTACTGGAATTGTTACATTTAGACTTTACGGTCTACCAAAATTGCATAAAAATGGTCTATCTCTCTGACCAGTTCTCAACATGACAAACTCTCCGTATCATACAACAGCAAAATGGTTAGTAAAACTCTTAAAGCCTATACACAAAGAAGTTGTGAAGTACAGTCTCAAAGATACCTTGGATTTTGTTGAAAAGGTTGAGGATCTGGAAGTAGGTAATAAGTTCATGATATCGTGTGGCATTTCATCTCTTTTTACTAACGTTGATTTAATGGAGGCAGTAGACTTTATTTCCAACTAACTCATGAAGCACGGCATGGAAATAGGTGTTCCAGTGTTCACATTGAAAGAACTAATTCTGAGGTGCAGGATGAACGTACAATTTCTTTTCAATAGTGAACTCTACCAGCAGTCTGATGGTGTTGCTATGGGGTCACTCCTTGACCGGGTCTTAGCAGATTTTTTTATGGCAAAACTGGAGAATGGTCCACTGATAAAGTTTTGAAACTATCAGAAGATGCCTGTCTCATGCATCATCAACTACAAAGTCATCGACAGAAATCAATAAACGCATTATCCTACCATAGATAGAGTACATATCAGAAATCACGATAAGATTTACTGAGACCACTTCGAATTGGTGTTGCTCATAAACCAACAAATTCCCTTCAAACACTATTATGCAGACCAAAGGATGCAACAACCAAAGAAGACAAACCGAATATCATTTACAAAATCAACTGCAATAACTGTGGTCAACACTAAATTGGACAAAATGGTCACCCTCTTCACCTTCGTCTACATGAACACCAATTGACTATTAAACGGCACACACGACACTTGATCACTCATCGCTTAATGCACTTGGATAATAACGATGGAGATGAATTCAATTTTGACAATGTAGAAATCTCTGATGGAGAGAGGAAATACAAAGAATATCAGAGAATTCCTAGGAGCCTGACATTGAGGTCAATCAGTCAGCCAGCAACATGTATAGACATTGACCCAACCTATCAAGCAATAAGAAAGATGATAAATGACAGAGAGGTCAGAGGTGAAGCAGAGGAACAGCCAACAGGAAAATCTATACAATCAGTTACACAACAATCGAAGGAAACAACCAATCACAGACCAATTCGTCAAGCCAAACTATCCAATCACTCACGGAGAGATATTGATAGGTCACTTCATATTGAGGTTAGTGCTGATGATGTTGTCTAGGAAGACGATGAAAGCTTCACGATTAAACAACTCAGTCCAATTAATTTACCTTATAGACTACACACTCGGTTATATCACATAGCAGAGGTGGTTTCAATACACCTTTACAAACCTAACTTTTGTATTTGAAAGAATTGTATTCAACCAGTTGCATAACCGTGGCCCTTAACATAATGTAACTACTAAGTTTACTTTGTACACCTCTTCTCCTTATTGTTTCTGTCAATATTCATTTAGTTTCTTAATATTACGTAATCGCTTATTGTGAATGACTGAATACTCATCAAAAGTCACTCCATTTATCAAAGAAAAGCTTGTTTCGTATCTTCAATTTTATTAATTCTACTGATTATTTACACCTTATTATCTCCGAAACATCACTAATTGATTGGTAATTTGATTAAATTGTAGTGTAGCGCCTAAGATGAAGACTTAATTGAAAAGGAATATATTTCTTCACTCGCTCATTCAGTCCTTTTTTTTTATAAACATTATCGTTGTTTTTGGACATTTTATAGATTTATTCAAGTATTGGTTTCACGATCATTTGCTCATTTACGTTTGGTATTTGAAGAATATTCAACAATTGGTAAAAAAAATATTGAAGATACATTAAAAGCAGAAATGCATGGTGATACACTTCATTCATTCTTGTCTATTGGTTAGTGTTTTGGTATAATGTACATAAAGTATACTTAATTATTAGTAGTATCATCTTTTGAACAAATGGATCCGTTTGACAATGATCGAAATTAGACAGACAAAATCAATGTAGGATCTTGTATGTAAGTACATCAGTTCAAGTTACCATACCTCATAATAGAATATAAAAAAGAAGAGAATAGGAAAGACAAATATGTACCGGTGAATAGGAGTCATGTTACCAAGAGTCTCCAACCATTCACTCCTACTTTCTTATTGACTCCATCCAGGCAGTCACAACCTCTTTACGCGATTCACATCAATAGTCAGGAACTTCATACACTGGTACCACATCTCGGTTTGGCCAGCCTAGGCCTTCTTCCCTTATATGTCTTATAACTTATATTTGTCTGTCATAAAATTTCAAAAATAAAGTTATATTGATCTCAGTGACTAGCAGAGGAGTCCAGAACGCATGTTTCGTCCTATTTGGGATTCGTCAGATGAATGTACATGCACACCAGTGAGCGATGTTGTTCACACTGAGGTGAGAACCCAGTACCTTTCTTTCCAAACACCAAAGCGTGATCAAACTAAACCAATCAGGCACGATAGACACCTCCTGTGCAATGGGTATTAGTTGTTATAATAATACTTGCAATTTCCAGTTGCAATTCAGGGCCAAACTGCTTGACCTGATTACAACAACTGATACCCGTTGCGCAAGAGGTGGCTCTCGTGTCTCAGTGGCTTAGTTTGATCACGTTCTGGTGTTTGAAGCGAAAGGTACTAGCTTTGAGCTTCAGTGGGAATAATATCACTCTGTACTGGGGTGCAGGTACATCCAGCTGACGAGTCCCAAATAGGACGGAACGCTCGTCTTTGGTCCCTCTGCTAGTCGCCAAGACCAGCATAACATAATGAATGTCCAGCAGTATCGAGGCTTCTGGATAGGAGCCCATCTGCTAACAACAGTGAAACCTATGTTTTATAAGATTTTTCAGTGACATCAAACGAGAGATAAATTTTACTGAGTAGAATGCTGATTATCTTTAACATAAATAATGAAAGTATCTGAAGAGCAGTTCATAGTGTCAATAAAAGATGACGGTTATTAAAAGATGCTAAGATATTATAGCAGTAAATATTAGTTTCATAACCTTGTCGAATGTAATGTCGACGAATTGATTGTAAGAAGAGCAGTTTCGTAACAGCTACCCGATGATTACTGTAGATAAATTAGGTAAAATTGTAGCAGTCAGACTTTGGATTACTTATCGGTGGCCAGCAATTAACATATTTCTTAACCTTAAGGCGGAATTTGACTCTCTCGAGAGAAAAGTGTCGTAGAAATGTCTGACGGTAAATATAACTGCCAGCTGACAGGCAGCATTAGTCGAGGCTGCCCACCCAAACCCATATACCCGTGTGAGCGCTTATAGAGAGTTTTCGTCTGAACTGACAACAACTGGTCGTGTTCATAAGGAATGCCTGCTATTCCCATTCCTGTTTAACTTCTTTGTACATGTGCCAGTGAACTGATCTACTCCCTGAAAGGCAACAAGTTGACTTGGAGTATGCAGACGATGTTGTCCTGTTAAGTAAACATGTTGGGAAAGTGTTTAGCATGAGTCTCATGTATGTCAAGTTTAAGATGTTGCTTGAATACTAATCTGCACCTAATCTTGGCTTAAAGATAGGAAGTGAAGTGGTTGAGTGGATTGACCACTTTACTTACTCGGGCAGTTTCAACAGCCCAAACAGACTGGTTGCTGACAAAATCTCATCTTGGATACAGAAGGCCCGTTTGGTATTCCCTAACTTCTTCATCTCTAGTGCCGACCAGAGAGATTTCCGACTAGCTACTGAAGGACGTGTATACTGTCCTGCATTGCCCATTTCTTGTTATAAGGCTGTGAAGAATGGCTGTTGGAATTAGAAGATGTGAAAAGACCATAGGTTTATAACCATAGGTACCTTCTTAGAATTGCCTGTGTTTGGTAGAAGCACTATGTGAGCAGTGTTGAGGTTAAGCGAGACTTACTAGGTAAGGAAGTTAATTCAGTCGATGAGATTCTTCACCTTCTCTGATTGAGGTGTATTTGACATGTATTTCTCATCCTGAGCCATTGCTTACCTCGAAGTGTAATGCTAGGGGCGCTGGATTAGGTTAGAAGATAGTTCAACTTGGTAAGACCAAGACGTGTTACCAATCCATGAGGTCTTTGACTGTTGGTATGAGCCGTGTAGGTAGGGTTGAAATGCGTGGTTGGAGTTCCTGGAAAAGTACAAATGAATTGTCGGAGACTCTTGGGGATATAGGTGCAAGTTTATCTAAATGGTGCAGATGTATTCTCTCTGTGATGTCTTCTAAAGCTTGAACATTTTCACTAACTTTGATTTTCCAATTGCTTTTCCTCCTATACAACTTCGTCGGCTTTCATATCAGTCTTTCGTGCCTACATGTCCTTTGCAAAATACTCCAAACTGTGGCAACTTGAAGCGATGGACTTGTATGCGAGGTTCTACGTTGATTTTGTCTGTCTATCCATCTACTTGCTTGTCTAGACTACCATTATTTAAGAAATATCTTCGGTTTTGAATAAAAGAGTAGTAGATTCAAGTAGATCATGACTCATGAAACTGATAGAAATTATTATCGGTAAAGATTTAGGCTGTTTCATGCTTTTGTGTTGGTGCTTGTACCATTCAACCGTTCATTGAGTACGATTAGGTTGTTCTTTGTTGACATATGGGGTTCTGTGCAGATATACTTCAGCTCCAGTAAGCGTTATCCTTACTGGGACTCGGACCCAGAGCCGGCCGCGTCAAACCCTAGAGCGTTATCCACCAGACCACCGAGTCACGGGGAAAAACAACATACCTTTCTGGGTAGCAGGTACATCCAGCTGACTAGTCCCAAATAGGATGAAACGCCCGTTTTTGACTTCTCTAATCACCAGTATCCATCATCAAAGTAATCCTTCTGAGCTACAAATATTCTCCATCATCTCAAGGTGTTTCATATTGTGCCAGCCTGTTGTATTGGAAAAATTGATAGAATTGAAGTGTTTCACTGTTCATTAAACCAATAGCCCATTTTCTGTGTTATCCATCTAACAGTAATCATGCGAATTATGACACCTGATGTTTATGTCAGACGTTATGTGATTCCTCTTACATGTTTATGTGCCAATAATTTTATTTAATACTTCATGAATTAGTCAGTGATGTATCACTATGTACTAAACTGACCCTATACCGAACTATGTTCCACCATTATGCCTAGTTTTTCTTCACATATTGTGAAACTGATACATGTGTTAAGATTTTTAGCATAAACAGTACATGAAATATACTACTTACTGTAATGGTTTCTTTTCAGGTCACCAGTCGCTTGCTAGATAGACAGGGTTGAACCTCACAATCAGAAAATACTCCACTTCATTTGGAAATGAATTAATTCAACTGGGAGACAAATACTGAATATGAGGCTTTCCAGTGGTACACAACCACAACTTGACCAGGGATCAAACTCAGGACCTTCACCTTCCACAGTTCCCTACTTCTCTCAGTACACAATACAAAGTGACTATCAGTTACCATCCGCATCACTTTCGACTAATTGACCCCATAGGTTGCATCTTCTCATCTTGAAGTATACGGAAGTAGGAAACTGTGAACCACTGAACTCTAACCCAGTGGTTGATAAGTTAAAGCATTCGCCATGAAATCTGAAGTTCTTGAGTCCGACCTCTGACGGGATTGTGGGTACGAGCTCATGAAGAGTCCCATAGTAAGATGAAACAGCTGTACAGGGCTCAACTGCTATCAGTACGTCTTGAATACTATCTAAATAATAATAATAATAATATTCCTATTCACTTCAAAAATGAAATACCTAATACTTATCATATCTCTTTCTAAATAATGTTCCCTTCTAAATTGTATACCTCATTTTGGTATATGACTGATGATTGGATGCAATCTTAGACGAATAAAGGCTCTTGCTGAGTCTACAAATCATTCAATCAAAAGTAAAAGTTAATGAAATTTCGAATGACTTCGCTATTTATTTGTAAAGTTGATTGGGTGTACATTCATAAGGATACTTCATCCCAAGATAAAAATCTCATGCTCTTATTCATTCTTTTTTATCTTTATATGTTCATTTAAACAATCAATTAACACTTGAATATTGAATGACCTCATTTAAAGGACATCATTGAAATCATTCTTTCATTCAATTTTACGTGATACAATTTTACTTCACGCTGTGCTATGAAAAACCATCTCAATTAATAAACGAGTAAAGTCATCAAATTTAAAATATTCGCCATATTTCACCATAAGTAGAAGAAGAAGAGGAAAGAATTACAAGATTCCTAATGTTAACTTTATTCACCAATCCTATAGGCAGATATGAAAATGTGGGTGTACAATTGAATCAACCTTCATAAACCAGTCCTCATTAGTGAATCTTTTCGAGATCGATTTTCCAAAGTCCTAATCAGAAGTCTTGACCTTTAGGCTAAAGTAAATCAATAATGAAACCGAATACCCACTACTTATGCCGTGTGATGGTTGCGCTATATTGTGAATTGACGGGAATTGAAAACGTACACCATTAGATTGTATCTGAGTAAAACCTCACGATCCTGGAGACAATTCGTTGTAGAGTCGTGAGTACGCAGTGTCGAAGAGTTATAGATGTTGAATGCTTGCAGGCATTCATTAGTTCTTCAACAAATGTCAATCCATAAAGACATGGAAGCACTGAATAGCTGTTTCGTTGTCGCATGGGACTCCTTATCGGTGCGTACCCATGGCCCTGCAAGGGATCGACACCTGAACATTCAGGTTCCTTGTCCACCTTGTGACCATTGAGCTACTGGATCATCATAGACTGATATCAGTCGGAAAACTTAAGGACAAATACTCAACAGTGATAGTGAGTGATAGTCGCGCTATTTCGTGAACTGACAGAAAGTTGGAAATATGGATCATTGGATTCCGACACTGTGGCTCAATGGTAACCTCCTGGCTACGAAACATGAAAGTCCTGGTTTCCGTCCCTAAGGGGTTTGGGTCATGGGTGTACACTGCTGAGAAGTCCCATACCAGGACGAAAAAACTGTCCACTACTGCATGCTCGCCAATCTTCCTCCAACTGATGTAAGTCCATGATAAATTCCAACCTGAAATCACTAAATCCCCATGAACTCCCAAATTGAATCCTTTATATCATTTTTATTCATACGTTGATTCAAAATCTCTATCAATTGACATAGCGTTAAACTCATAAGAATTTATAGATATCCCTCGGATTTGTCCACTACATTTTCATTTATTGAAATCAAAATACTTAGCTTTTCTTAGTTATATTGAATCGTTTAACAATATATACAAAAATCGAGTCTCATAGATTTGATGGTATGATATGATAGTATGCATAATAAGCACCGATTATTACTGATCAATAAGCGGTACAGAGGGTTAATTACGCTGAAAGTAATTTCGAAGTAAGTATTATCTTCAACTGATTAAGTTGATAACACAGGATATGAGGATTCTTACTAATGTAAGCTATTCTCTAAGAAATATAGATTTATACAGATACATATGATATTGTATTATAATTACAGAATACTGGTGAAAGAGTATAATGCCGAATGTTTCGTCGCCACACCTGAACGATTTCATCAACAGTACTAACATTAATATCACAATCAAATGATGAATACCACATAAGAATCAACACTTTTTACATGCATATGAATATTAAACTGTCTGTATTATTTTAAGAGTAATCGTCATCAGTTGCTTCAGAGTTGAATGACTTTCTAGGCACCAGTTTACTAGATTATATACAAAGAATGCATAAGTACTCCTGTCGAACAAACTATCGATGTAATTTTTTGCATATTCTTATCATCAATAAACAAAATTTATCTCAAAGCGGATGTCATTTCCCTCGAGGTTGTAGATACGCCTTACTCACGAAGATCAACAGGCAGTAAATCTGGGTCAAAAGTTCTGCGTTTATTTCCTCTAACTAAGTGAATAGTCTTCATCAGCTAAAAACTGTAGAATCAACAGTTGTGAATAGCAGCTGGTTACATCATATTGATTATCTAGACAATACCACATTACCACATTAAATAATATTCAATTTTGCCTTTCAGTTTCTTGTATCCAAAATAAACCAAAATACTTTGCTGAGAAATTATTAAAATCTATGAAACGCTTGGGAACTAACAACAGAACACTAATTAGAATAATTGTATCACGTTGTGAAATCGATTTGGGTATAATCAAGAAAGAATTCCTTAGTTTGACTGGCAAAACACTGGAGTCTTATATAAGTGTGAGTAAAAGTCTTATTTTACTTTATTCTCTTCATAAATGAAACTAAACAGAAATGAATTCATTTTCAAGTTGTTATTCATCGAAGACTGACATCATTTGGAGGAACAAAGGAAACTTAGTGGCCCAATGGTGACGCGCTGGCCACGGAACCTGAAGGTCACGGGTTCGATCCCGGCTGGTGGGGTCGTGGATGCGCACTGCTGAGGAGTCCCATACTAGTCGGACGAAACAGCTGTCCAGTGCTCCCAGGTCTCCTTTGTTCCTCCAACTAATGTCAGTCTTTGATGAATAACAACTTGAAATAATTCCAAATCTCCACAACCCCCTCAAAATGTAATTCATTTTCAATTTATTCTTCATAACAGATTGATAGTAGTTAGAGAACTGAACAGTTATGTCATCCTAGTTTCCCACTCTCTAGTACTGTGAACCCTTAATCCGACGAGTATTGTATGTGGCAAGCATGTTGTCATCCAGCCACTGAGTTCGATTCCCTTGCTATACATTTTTTTAATTCCATCAGTTGTGTATGATTTCTCGCTTCTAAACTGGATAAAGGTGATTGATCTCTGTTGGCAGATGGGCTAATAAGTGGTTGCTTCAAAACTGCTCGAGTATTCATCATATTGTAATTTATTTGTCAGCTATCATTGGAAATTGAAACAAAGGGGGCTATGTTCCAGTCCCAGTGAGAATAAAATTACTCACTGGGGTGGAAGTAGACCCATCTGAAGATTTCAAAATACGATGAAACTTATGACCTTGATCCACTGCTGACTAGCAAGTAGACTAGAAGTGAGATCTGTAACTGGTGAATGCAACGCTGAAATCAACTAGTAGCCAAAAATCACACATTAAAATATGACTACTTATTTCTCTGTCAGTAGTATAAAACAAATGATGTATTTCAGTATTTGCAACAACCGTACTGATTGTTGCTAGTTATCATATGTAATGGTAAATAACTGTTATCTTCTTAGATGCTGATCTACTGATTTGGTCTTTGAAGTTTGTGTACTCCTCCTTCATAATTTCAACTTATTTAGCCTCACCACAGAATACATAACTTGGTATGTGATGATACAAAGAAACTGAGAATAAAATAAATGAGTGATAACTCTTTTAATATTCCCCTTGGCCCAGTTTTTGGTCAGCACTGAGTAATTTGATATTTTCTGAACAAAATTAAAAGCATTGAATGGATGGAGATGAAAATTGCAATGACCTTGGGACTAATCTTGGCACTGAAAATCAGAACTTATTACTAAAACTTATCAAATATATGCAAAATTATTTCACCATTTCAGCCACATCATTCTGCATTATCAAATCCACAAAAGGATACACAAAACTCTTATGAACCATGCTACAAGTGATCAGATAATATCAGTAATTCAACAAAATCCTAGTTTATATGCTTCAAGAACTGCAGACTTATTCATTAGCTCAATATGTTAGAATTGTCTTTGAAGGTTTTTTGAAAAATGCTGTAGATTTCTCAACCAATCCTGTGGTGAGAATTTCTCCTGCCAGTAAGCAAAGGAAATATGGAACTCAGCTATCCTATCAAAAATAATTCCCTACAAACCTTCAGTGTTCAATAATGACATGCTTCGAAATGAGATTTCATGAAGTTGTGGTGAGAAATCGTGACCGGTGGAGCAAACCAACTTGAAGGTGAGGATAAATACTCTCGAATCAACAGAAGTAGGAAAATACGGACCATTAAATCGTGCTCAGTGGTTTAGGCGATCATAGCGAGAAGTGAATTCCCCGTGTTTGATTCCTGGAGACGTCATGGATGACAAACTGGTACGAAACGGATTCTGAGTACTCTTAGAATTTCAATGGTTCTCCAACTTACGTTTATGCATGATGATTACCAACCTGAAATCAATCGATCCTCACAAATCTCCAGTTGCATTTGGTCATAATTTAAACTTTCTTTCAAGTGACTACTACCAATTCAACTAAGTAGTCTACATCTATTTTTTAATAAAATGAGTACTGATTTAACCACTGTAAGAGAAGGGTTGTCAATGAATAAGATGGAAATCAATAATTAAAATTAGTTCTTGATGTTTTGATCTTTTAGGAGTGGTCATAAGTAGTTAAGTTACCTTTTTCAGTTGTCAGTATTCACCGTTTCAAAGCAAGGGTCGGAAAAGCAAAACAGGACTTCATTAACCTGAAACCAGTGTGGAGACCTACTGCACTCAGTATCAAGAACAACATCTGGATTTCCAACACCAACATCAAGTCAGTGCTTCCATGTGATGGTTGAGAGACTTGGCGCGTCACGAAAAGCATTTTCAACAAACTACGGACATTCATCAACAGCTACCGCCTACGCTCGTTCCTGAAGACCAGATGACCAGAAAGAATAAGCAAGTAGGAACTCTGGCTTGACAACGAACCAACCAAGAACCTATCACCTGACAAACATGCAGAAGCAGAAGGTGGGGATGGATTGGGAATACACTGAGAAGACCATTTGAAAATATCACGCGCCAGGTCAGGCCCTCGAGTGTAATCCGAAGGGGAAAAGACGAGTTGGGCATCCGAGGTGAGGGTGACATGGAGGAGATCATGTGAGGAAGAAATGAAAGCTTATGGACAATGGTGGAGCCAGGTTTTGAAGACTGCAGAGAACAGAGTGGAATGGAAGCGTGCTACTGAAGCTGTATGTTCCAGTAGGAATCCAAAGGACGAATAATAATAATAATTGTTTCACTTGAAAGCCAACTACTTACAAGTTTATGTTTTATGTTACAGCTTGACTAGAATGAGGCATATGGTCTTCTGTCGAGACGCCTCGATATCGCTTGGATCTTCACTTTGGATGTAAACAAGGGATAGTGGCTAGTAGTGCATCCCAGGATGCAGGATGTATCATATTTCGGACTCTTCAGCTAGATGTACCTGCCCCCCCCCAATCCCCCAGTTAGTAATGTTTTTCCCACTAAGACTAGAACCTAGGACGAATTACTTCAAGCGTCAAAGTATTATCTACTAAGCCACTCAGTCACAAAAGCCAGTATATGTATGGCGAGTGGAGTATAGTTTTTTATGTAGCTTCAGTGACAATAACCGCAGTCACTGAGGGGTGGGCAGGTACACGTGACTGACGACTGCCAAATAGAACGGTACTCGCCTACTGGATTCCATTGCCGAAGTCCATCATTAATTTGTTGAAGTATTTTCATTAAGCCTCACTGAATCTCTACGTTAAGACTCACAACTATGTCTATACAAGTTAGATTAGAACTTCCTGTGATTCCCCCAAACGTGTTCATCTTGAAACAACATTAGTTTAATATAAAAGTAATGCAAATAGCTATCAAGATAAATGTGTACGCCAATGAATTTTAAATGTTTTGTAAATAACAGATCATGAAGAAAAAATAGAATACAAAGAAAAGATGAGTTTGTATAGTCTATATTATTGATGGATCGTGGCTAGCAGTGGAATCCAGGAGGCGCATTTCATCCTATTTGGGACTCGTCAGCTGGATGTACCTGCTTCCCAGTGAGTAATGTTGTTCCCAACGGGATTCGGACTCGGCGGCGATCGCTTCAAGCATTAGGGGGTTATTCACTATGCCCGGTGGGAACAACGTCACTCACTGGGAAGCAGGTACATCCAGCTGACGAGTCCCAAATAGGACAAAATGCACATCTTGGATTCCACTGCTAACCACTATCCGCTATTACTATAATTAGGACGCAGGCGATATCGAGGCATCCACAGAGGAGCCTATGTGCCAATAGAGACCTATCAATTCGGTCCAAACAACGACGGTATTTTATCGTGTAGTTCTTAGAAGTTTTGATCTTCGTTGATTTATACGAGTGAATTGATTCCTTTCTATTGATGAATGGCCCTTGTGTAGGAATACTGCTTCGATAGTCGTAGTATGAAGATACTGCTGTGTCACTTTGAAGTGGTGAGCAATGAAGCACGAAATATTCTCTCCTTTATATTCCAGTAGCACTAGCAACAAAAACGACATGAACCCAAATATATCCAACTTAAAACTCTGAAACTGGAGGAAATTAAAGTCGTGGATTCCACGAGTAATCACTATCGAATATAGATATAACTAAATTCTGTAACTTACCTTCAAGAGTGTTCTAAACTTAAACGTCCTCCTTGCTCAGTTGTTAGAACTCCGGGTCAGAAACCCGGTGGTCGCTAGTTCGAATTCGGCTGCTGTCCAAATTTTCATTTTACCTTCAATCGTCACCCATTATAAACTTTAAGTATCATATAGACAGGAAGCGATCAACACAAGTCAAAGGCAAAAAATCTGTTATCTTCTGCCTTCATAAGTAAAGCGGTTGGGCAGACATCAGTAACGGTAGTTTTTGTTTTGTCCTATTCTAGAACAGAACTCTATACATTGACTGGTCATTGGATAGCAACCAGTTCCATATTATCTAGCCCTGAGTGGTGACCGAATTCCATCGGTCATTTTACAGTGTGACTATCAAGCAAGGTAAGTCAATATTATGTGCACTTTGAGGGATTCTAGGTGGACGGAGGCAATTGGCAAGGAGCCCTACAGCTAAGTTTCTTCATTCTTGTCAATCATCACTGACTGTTACGCTGGGTCATACGGGGTTCGAGTGTTGACCAAGACATTAGTTCCCTCATGGTCCCAGATACGCCGAATGTCAACAAGTTCCAAAGCTTTCTGTACACTGCTCCCAACTATCTAACATCCATTAAAGTGGACCGTGATGTTGAGTCTTGTAACCTGATGACGACATTTCAAAATGACCAATCAGCATTGAAGATTAGACAACATGAAGTTAGTCACCTTCCAGTGACCTTGTTATCAACCTTATTTTCTAATTTTTTTCGGTTCCAAATTCTCCTAGAAATTGGAATTATTGAGAAACTTTCAAAGATCTATATGAAAGTTATTACCAATTCTGTATTTACTCAACATAACTAGAATGTTGGTAAACAAGATGAAAAAAGTACTTGACAATAGCCCTCCTCCTCCTCCTCCTTATGAAATAAATAGTAAATAGAAGACCATACACAATTCTTAAGAACATGTCTACTGTTCACAGTTCTATCTATGATGTGTTGTACTGATAATTATTACTACTACTACTTTATTGCTTTTTTTACCATTTTATAGGATGAAACAAGTGGTGATTTCCGTTCAATTCTGTTGGCATTAGTTGGAGCCTAAATGTTTCATTCACACTCTAATCTATTGCATACAAATAATAAGAGACGCACAAAATGACACTTTTTTCTAATCTGTGATAATCTTCTATTATACATATCTATAGATTTCATTCCTATTTATCATAAAAGTGTGATTTTTGTCAAGAGGTTTAAGTTATCATTTGACTATCTAGTTGAGATAGTCGTAGTTTGGCAGACCAGTATTTATGCTGGGTGATGACTAATGGTGAAATGAAAGCTCGAACCAGAGACCACCAGGTGTCCGGCTTGATGTTCTACTAAGTGAGTGAGCTACAAGATCTGACTACTGACCTGATTTTAATTTCACTTCAATCATCGAAGGTTTTGTCCAACTCCCATGTGAATACGTGATGCATTATTACCGCTTGATCGTATTCACATTGGCTACCCACCAGTCACGACTTCTTATCCAAATCCAAATCTAACTGAATTAGAATGAGAGGGGGAGCATCATATTGATTATCATTTGACTATCTGGTTGAGATAGCCGTAGTCTGCCAGACTAGTATTTATACTGGATAGTTGGTAGAGCATCGAGTCGGAAACTCAGCAATCTCTGGTTCGAATCAGGCCGCCGTCCAAATTTCCACTTCATCTTCAATCATCACCCAGTATAAACAGGTATTAGCGCTAGTTTATGTGTTTAAAAGCAGGAGACGGAGGAATATTTCTAGTACAGGCTGGTGATGTTGAATGTATTGCGTTCTCAGCAATCAAAGCCAATTATTAATTACACACTAATTCGTCAAGTTCAACCTGTGAATTACTCATGGAGAAATTCTGACAGCTCATTTAACGTTGCATTTATTGTGTATATTGTCTTTATGACTAAACTATCCATCCCGGGGAATAACCAAGATTTCTGTCTTCCTCTTCAATCGTCAAACAGTGTGCTTTCGTCGTATATCTCATACCTTCATTATTTTTGAGATCAATGTTCAATAATTTGGAATTTCTTGGCTATTTGGCTATTTTAACTTAGCTTTATGTGTTATCCTACCGCGATATCTGAATTCATCTGTATTTTCGCCACTTTAATAGACATACTCTAACTGTACAAAATGTGATATTAACATTCAGTCAATAGTGAAGTGTGATTTCATATTATACACTAAAGGAGAACCAGAGTCATTTACATCATTTGTCCAAGAGACCTTAAACTTTCAGTTTAACATAGTAAATTTTGAAACTGTGGTTAGTTTCCATGCTGAGCATTGGACCTTCAGACAGTTGGTCACTTTCTGTATCGCTTGAAAATCACATTTCTTATACTTTAAAAGGTATTCCTACTGTTAAACTGTCATGTAAAATAAGTTTCTATCAAAAATGATAACTAGCAGGAAAGTGTTGTGAAACAACTACTGATGTTAGTAAGTAGTAGTTTCAGACCTTATGGGAAAAAAAACTGGATGCATGTCACAGAATCGTAATAAATATTGATTTAATCAAATAATTTAGTAAAGTAGAAGCTAAAATGAAGATATCTGTTAGTTACACTTTTTTTCAAACAAAAGTAAATAATAATATGGTCAATAAGGAACCCATGCACTGAGAAGACCATTCGGGGACATCACGCGCCAGGCACTCAAATTGAACCCAGATGGGAAACAGCGAGTTGGGCGTCCGAGGTGGAGGTGACATGGAGAAGATTGTATGAGGAAGAAATGAGAGCTTGTTGGGAGTTGTAGAGCCAGGTTCAAAAGATTTCAGAGAACAGACTGCACTGGAGACGTGCTACTGAAGCCCTATGTTCCATTAGGAACCCAAGGGACAAATAATAATAATACAATAAGGAACCAGTTTCCCTAGGAAAATGGCGATAACTACCTTTCGAAAGCAATAACAATATATTCTGAATAAATACCTGATGGCCTTTTCCGTATCACAATCGTGTGATGATCTGATCAATTCCATAAATAAGATAGTGTGTGGTGGGTGACAGTGTAAAATACTTATATTTCACTGATTGATGTCAGGTTTAAGCATGGAAACAGTGGTGTTAACTTTGTTTTTATGAACCAACTGATCCCTAAAAGATCTGATCACTACGACTGTGGGGCATCAGCTTCCATTCATGGAGATGTTGAAGGTTGCTTTACATGTACCCCGAAACTGACAAAAAAGTTCTTAAATTTTTCAAGAATAATTTGGCAATATTTTTTATACTACTTACTATTGATGAGTAACATGAATGTGGTGGATATATTTCTTTTTCGCTTCGGCCTGTCAATGAAAACATTTTCAAAAAAGCCGAGTAAAATGGTAGAGACGAAAGGGAAGACAATAAGGAAAATTGAAAGATGATTGACTAAAATGCCGAACTCTTGAGTCTTAAGCGTCAAACAAGCTTGTAAACATACTGTCTTGTCTACAAAATCTAGTAAAAATCTAAGTAAACAGCTCTATACAAGGGAAGAGAAGAGGAACAGAACAACATTAATCGGTGAAACGTTGAATACCCAAGGGAAACGGACAGTTGTTACGCCCTAATATGAGAGTCTTCAGCAGTGAGCCCTCATGATCCTGCCATTGGTCGAACCCAATAGCCTCAGGTTTCATGATGAACATGTTACTATTGGCTAACTAGGTTGGATTCCAATTCGACTTTGACCATCAGATTCCCGACCAGGGACTTCACGATGACGTAATCATCGTGAGTCATGAATTTCTAAGAATCGATTCCTGATGGGGATGTAAATACGCATTGCTGAGGAGTACTATTCTAGGACGTATTGGGTACAGAGTGTCATCAGGTGTTCAATGATTCTGTAATTGATGTCACTGTATGATGAAATCGAACATTCTCCACACGCCTACAAATTGAAGAAATGGATTAGTTTGGGCACACATGCCTAATCGTCAGGTCTGTGCTCCAGTACCAAGTAAGTGAACAACACTGAAGGCGCAACAGTATACACACGATTTTTCTTCACGCTTATTTGTAGTCTGACCAATTCAACTATGATCATCTAGGAGCTTTGAAAGAGACAAAATATATCCCTGGTGCCATTGATTCAGTAGCTTATAAAGGGAATCAATGGGGAAACCGAAAAGGCTTGCTCTATATCCACTGCGTGAATGAATATAAGTTGTGATGATCTTTACTATTTCATTTGTAAGCAATATATCACTTAATATTAATTTGCTATTGGCTAAACCTTTCTCGAAGTATCTTCCAGACAGATGATTCTTTAGGGCAATTTAAACTTATTAGTGTAAATAAAGATTTGAAATCCAAGACTTACCGCCTCACTACATTGATCTTGGTGACTAGTGGAGGTATTCAGGAAGCGGATTCCATCCTATTTAGGACTCGTCAGCTGATTCTGCCTGCACCCCAGTGAGTGATCTTGTCCCCCCTAAAGCTCAAACCCAGTACCCATCGCTTCAAACGTTAAGGCGTTATCCACAATACCACTGGGACACAATAGCCAACTCTTTTGCAACGGATGTCAGTTGTTGTTTTGATGCTTGTAATTTTCCGTTGCTATACAGGGTCGAATTGCTTGACCTCCACAAAAAGGTGGTTATCGTGCTCCGGTAGCTTAGTGGATCACTCTCTTGAAGTAAAGAGTACTGACTTTGAGCCCCAGTTGGAACAACATCACTCAGCACTGGGGTGCAGTTATATCTGGCTGACGCACGTCCTTGATTCCTCTTCTAGTCACTTAGATGAATGTAACATCATGAGTATCCGGCAGTATCAAGGCATCTGCATAAAAGCCCATATGCCAACAGCAGAGGCCGAGTAACTCGGCCCTGCATAAAAAAAAAAATTACAAGTATCATTACAGTTAGTACCTTGTTGTTAATCTTGAATTTCAAATCTTCATTTATTTCTACATATTTAAAGTATGTTGTGTCAGTATTACTACTACTAAGACTTCATTTCAATTGTAGACTGTTTGCAGCTGATGAAGACTAGTGAAATAAACTGAAGTCATTTTATTCTACAAAGGTCCTTCTCCTTCTAAAGGCTCTATATGACAGCCATTAAGAAAATTACGCAATTCGTAACGAGACAACTGACATTAAAAAGTATTGATCTCACCTCGATATGTCAAATCGATACTGGTTTAAGTAAAACAGGAAAGTATTTCTCCAAATAAGTAAATATATTTAAAATATACTAAGAGATAATATTATCTGGTTATAAACCGTCAATATATACTAGAGAAGTAGCACTCGCCGACTTTACATAGCAGAAGTGATTTCAATACACCTTGACGAACCTAACCTTTGTATTCAGCAGAAGTTTGTTCAACCATTTTCATCACCGTGGCCGTCAACATGATGTAACTTCTAGTATTACTTTGTACACATCTTCCCCTTCCTGTTTCTATCGACATTCATTTGTATCATTATTACGTAATCGCTTATTGCTTATAACTGGATATTCATCAAAAATCATTCCATCTACCTAACAATAACCTACTTCATATTACCTCTTCTAATTACCTTATTAATGATTCGCATCTTAATATCTAAAACTTGTCACCTTCACGAATTATTTAAAATCTATGATTACTGTTCATCAACACCCACCACGTGATTGGTATTTGGATTAAATTGTAAACCAATATAGATAAGTGTAGAGCCGAAGACGAAGACTTAATGGAAAAGGAATATATTTCTTCACTCTCTCAACCAGTCATTTTTTAGATGTCTAAGTGTGAATATCCTTCATTCTCAAGGGGAATGAAGTAGAAAACACATTCAAACTGTTTAATCAAACATTTGAAGGAATTCATTTCAAAAACTGGGTGGAAGCTGGTAAGAAAAATTCCTCAGCAGTAAAATACACGTTGGGATTCTACAAACCCAAGGGTATATATATATGAAAACCACAAACACTAATCAAATCTTGCATTACAACAGCAATCATCGTGCAGTCGATAAGAGATATTGTGTACAAACATTATTCACAAGAGGCAAAATATATTTTCACACTGATGCACTACGAAAAGCCGAAGAAAACTACGTGTAAAGTGTTCACAGTCAAGGATTATACATCCAATTTCATCAAACAGTGTTTATCAGCACGAGAGAAGATAGCGCGAACACCCTAAATCAGCAAATGCATTACTTTACTCTGCATCAATGATGTTTCAGAAGTGGTGGAA